TACATTGTAGTTTTACTCTTCCCTTTTTTTTTTTTTTTTTTTTTTTTTTTTTTTAACCTTTGCGGTTCAGGAGGCATCTTTTAAATGTGCACTCAGGGGTGTTGAAAGCTTCTGTTCTATACAGTATTTGGCAGTGTCTAACTGCATTGTGAGAGGTGTTTATGCAGAATTGTGGCTGTACTTGACAGCTCGCTATAGACTGCTTGAAGAAAGCAGGTGCTGCATGCACAGAGAGAAAGCAGTTGCCAAAGTTTCTTGGGAAAGCATTAATGCTTAAAATAATAAAAAGAAACCCTTGTAGCAAGTGAGGGAGCTGCTTTACTGGTGGACAGGAAATAAAGCAATGGAAATGCCAAAGAGGGACCTGGATGGGAACTCCAGGTGCCCAGGGGAGCTGGGGAAACGGGATTTACAGCAAAACTCTGAACATGGGCCTCTCTTTGAAAGTCTTTCTGCCTGCAGATCTTAGAGGCTGTGAAGTCTATTCACTGTCCCTGGCAGGCTTGGTACTTTTAAGAGGCTTAGGTAACCCCACACTCATGAAGGTCATCTGTGACTCTGACTTCAAACATCAGCAAGGGGTGACTAAGAAAGACCACTCCAGTTGCAGGATGCAGCACTGCTTATTGGCTGACCACACACTGCGGTGAGGCAAGTGGTGTTCAGGGTGCCTGGAGAACGTAGGCGGCTAGTTGTGCATTGCTGCAATTACACGCTTCAGTATTCGGGCCCTGACTTGCAGGTTTTTCAGGTGTTCTATCTAAAAAAATCTTAATTTTTAATTGTGATGCCAGTGTACCTCTCAGAGGATCCTTTTGTCCTCCTGACTTTGGGACTGGGTATCGAGACTTGAAGAGTTTGTGAGTCTGGGTTCTCTCATGTGCTGCTTTGGCAGGACTCAGGCAAGTATGGGCACGATTTTAGAGGTGGTTTCTGATTTTAGATGCTATAATTTTGAGAGTTACAGTTCTAGACATTGCAGTGCCTGAGTGTGTAGTAGGCAAGTTCTGTCTTCCCTGATAGTTAGTTTCTGATAATCTCAAAGTTGTGTGTTCAAATTCAGTCATTTTAAAAAATGATACAGCTGCAGGATGATAATGTATCTATCTGAGGCGTTTTGCATGATAATTTCTTCTGTGCCATTTCCTTTTGTGTTCTGACATCTAATCTTGCCAGTTCCAGTCTGTGATTTCCATCATGGACAAATTCTAGGCAGACAGCACTGCTTTCCTCTAAGCCTTTCTTGCTTCCTGTATCAGGCACAAGCAAGCACATATTACAGCTTGATCGAACTGCTGCTTATCAGCTCGGCCTCCTTGATCATCCTCGTGTGTGTGTGCTCTGATTACTTTGGCACCTCTTCCCTGTGCTTCTGATTACTGCTAGGAAGGTCTCATCTGCCCAGGTTTCCACATTCACCTTAAGCCAACAAAAAGCTCTACATTTGTTTGTTCTGTGTTTTAAGAACTCCTAGGACTTTTGCAGCAGATGTGGTCATTATTCCTTTCCTCTTGTACTTGCTCTGGGTCAGTTCCCAATGCTTCTCCAGGCTAGGAGTCTGACTTTCTTTTATAAAAGTGGCCAGCTCTTTCCCATCTCTTGTTTCCTTTGTAGTAGGCAGTAGGAAAAGAACAAATGTGAACTCATCCAGAACTTTCGAGGCAAGGAAAACAAATGGGGCCATAGTGTTGGAAGCAGATGGATTTCTCCACAAAGCTATGCTAGCACTGCCACTTCAACAGCTGGGCAGATTTAGCCTCTGCTTAGAGAGCACAGCTGCACTGAGAGCACAAGGGATCACAGCATGCGCTCAGTTGAGGCAAGAGATGCCTGAGTGGTGGGGAGGGCTGATGGGAAACATCTGCTTTTGAAGCTAGTAGCTCTGAGGCAGCTGTCAGAGATGTCCTGTGAGCTCTCTGTCTCTGGAGTTGTCTTCAGCTGTCAAAAATTCATTATGCTGGGGCCCCCCACAATGGGACACAGACTGGGAAAGAAGAGGAGGAACGGCAGCAGGCTGTGAGGAAGGTGTGAAGTGTAGTTGTTGCTTTCCTGCATCCTTGTTTTTACAGCTACTTTGAGGGATAGTGAGGATCCAGTGAGATCCCACAGGGTAAGGGAAACCCTTTTATAACAGAGATCTTTACCTCTCAAACTTTTCCTATACTTCTTGCATACTCCAGAGGTGGTCTGCACAGGTATCCTCAATGTTTGCTCCTTCCCTTGCTTTGACATGCTCGGTGGTGGTGTAGGTCAACTTCTCAAGCCTTGTTCTTCTTTTTGTTTCTGTTTATGTAATGTCACTGTCTGGATTTGGGAGATTGCTTTGCATTACTGTCAATGACACACAGTAAAGTAGAAGGGGGGTGGGCCCAAGTATGCTTATCCGAGCGCAGGAGAGCGGTTGTATGGGGAGTGCGTGTACACGTCTGAACCAACTTTGCTGTAAAATTCTCCATGACCCTTTCTAATCTGGGTTCTTGTACTGCACTCAGATGTGTCACCTGAAGGCTTAAACTAGCAAAACTCAGCCCAGCTTCTGGTTTTAATCCTTTGTTTTCTAGTGAGTGAGATCTGCTGCTGGCAGGCCACCTCCACAGTGAAGGTAAAGAAAAAGATGATTAACTCTGTATTTGCAAGCCCTGTTGCGCAGGGCAATTTAGACAGGATGTTTGGGCAGGTCGGAGGTCCTTTAGTACCCACTTTGCACTCGGGTTTTGGTTTGCAGTGTGGCAGGAAAAAATGGTGAGCTAAACTGCTCTCAAACCAGTACAAAATAAATCAATTGCATCTGTCTTCTATATCCTACAGACTACTTTCAGTTACATCTGTTGCATAGAGCCACTAGCCCTTGGCTTATAAACTTATAATTGTTGCCCTTAGGACCCTGTCTAGTTGCTTGTATGAAATTGAAACACTAAAGCTGGCTCTGCTGGGAAGAGCAAATCACAGCTTTACCCACATCAAGTTACTTAGTACCTTGGTGTTATTGTTGGCCAAATATTTCTGCATGTCATTGGCTGTGGGCTTACCAAGTCAGAGGGCTGTGTGGTCTCCCTGTTAACATTTATGTTTCATGTGGTCAGAGGGCTGGTGTGTAGCCCATCTGCAAGACCACTTTCCTTTATTTAGAAATGCTTGACTCCTCCTTCTTACGCTTTCTTTGTATGAAAGAATAACTGATGGTCTTGTCCTTACATTCACAGTCCGAAGGAACGAGGCTGCAGAAGGACCTCCGAACTTACTTGGCTTCTGTAAAAGGTAAGGTCTGCATAAGCACAGGATTTTCTCCCCTCTAGTGCTTACCTACACAGTGAGGTTTCTGCAGCCATCCCCTTCCTGGTGTTTCCTCAGGCGCAAGTTGTAGGAAAGGTCAGCCTTGTCTGGGTGGGGGATCTTTCAGAATCCTTCAGGACCAGTTGGGATGGAATGGAGTTATGCTTTGATGCCAAACAGGTGGTGCTGTCTTAGCAAATAGACTATCATATCTTCTGCTAGGGAGGACGAACACAAAGGGTTTGATGCGACTGCATCCTCGGTTCCTTTCTCCCTCTGGTTACCTTCTATCTCTGCGTTACCAAGGGTCAGACATTCTGTAAGGAAGAGCTTAGCATTTGTTACAACCTTCCTGTCCCCGTTCCTCAGGATGAGGGTTAAACTGTGAGGAACACGCTATTTTCTTCTTTCTGAAGCAGTTCCCTCCTCTTTCCTAGCCATGCACGAGGCCTCCAAGAAGCTGACAGAGTGTTTGCAGGAAGTTTATGAGCCGGATTGGCCTGGGAGAGATGACACAAATAAAATAGCAGAGGTAAGACTTTGTCCACGATGTGGGGTCACCAGGCTTGGTCTGTCAGTGGAGATGAGCTTTGGAAGCTGTGTCTGTGTGCCACGTTTCTTCAGGCATATGACTTTGCAGAAAAATTGGAGAGACAAACTCAGCATTGGGAAGAAGGGAAAGCTGAAGGGATGTGGCCTGTATTTTTGTCTGTGTAGGACACTGTCCCTAGATGCTTAAATGCTACACAGAGCCATATGCTTATGCCCACAAGCAATTTGTTCCCCCAATAGTGGCTAAACAGGGACAGAGTATGCCAAAAGAGAGTCAGTAGGGACAACTGGATGGATCGCTTCCACTCTATGGAAGAGAAAGGGGAGGATAAATCTATGGCCAAAGCACAGTCAGAGCAGCCATTGTGTAGCTGTGACAACCTCCCACTCACAGCAGTACCACCAGCTGCCATGTTTTGGTTGCCACCTTGTTTGGCTGAGCCATGTGTCACCCCAACCTGCTGTTCTTCTCATCCTTGGTGAGGTGATGCCTGTCCAACTTGCTCAGGTGTTTTCTGTGGATCTTAGGGCACAGCCTGTCATTTGACAGCTTGGATCCCCCTTGGCACGTGTGTGCAGTGGGTCCAGCTGGAGGCAGGTGCCCTCTGCTCTTTTGCTCAGCTGTTCTGCTGAGCTGCAGCTGTGGCAGTTCAGCTCTGTGGATCCATCTGCCATAAGGCTGCAGGACTGGGCTTATATGCAGCTGTCTGTGACATTGGAGCAGTGGGGAAGGAACAGAGAAGAGAGCAGAAGAGCGATTCTTCCCTTTCTCTGCTTTCCCCTGCAGAAAATCTTACCTGAAATAGCATCTGCATCTTGCCCAGGAAATACTGACTTCAAAGCAGATAAATCAAACAAAACCTGAACATTTCCAGGTTAATTCTTGCATTAATGTGGAAACTTTCCATTAGGAAGTGCTGTTGCAGTAAATAATGGAGTTATAATTCAACTGGTTTGGCTTTGCATTCTCTGTTGGCCTTGGTTCTTCCTGAGCCGCTGCAGTGCCTCCTGGGAGACTGTCCCTTCAGAGTATTTGAGCCAGAGAGGTCAAAGGGAGCATGAGTCCTGGGAGCTAACTGTAGCTGGGGTCTGCTGGAATATTTCCAGCCCTTCACCTCCCCCTTTAATGCCTTTGTTTATATTTCTCTCTTTCAGGAAAAGACAGGCAGGAGACAAGTGCTATTCCTGCCAAAAAAATAATAAATTCCCACATAAAGTGGGCATTTTTCCTGAATACTTTAGCCAAAACCCTTTGTTCAAGTGGAAAAACAAGAGACAGGCAATTTCCACCTAATCCAAGGTGTTGATGGGAAGTTACTGTGCCTGAGATAAGATCAAGGATAAAGCATGCACAGGTTAGGGCGCAAGCCTTGGATGTGACTGCCATTGGGCTGTGGAGGCAGGTGGTGTGAGGGCTGAAGACTGCTAGCATAGCTTTCTGTTATTGTTCATTTTCCTCCAGAATGCTGTGTTGTAATGAAAAGCAGAAAATGGTGCCGAGTGGTGTCAGGTGTCTCATTTTTGTGGCTGCTGGGAGAAGGAGGTGAAGCCAGCCTGACCTTCATATTTCCTCTCATTGTATGGACTTGGGGTAGCACTGCAGGGGAAAAGACAGGCCCTCAAAGGAAGGTTTGCGAAGGGTGCTGTGTCCTTGGAGAGGTCTCCTGAATCAGCAGCATCAGGCTTTCTTCTCTGTTTCTACATTTTTGGCATGACCTAAGTTTTCAACTAAATTCTCTGCTCCTTAGTTTTTCCAAAGAAATTACTATTTCTTAAGAGCTCTGGGAGACTGAAATTGTTGACTGTAGCACTCATGGAGAAAAACAGAAGTGCAGAGCTCTGTGTTCTTAATAGTGAGCTCATTACTTTTGTTTTTCAGAACAATGATCTCCTCTGGACGGATTTCCATCAGAAGCTGGTGGATCAGGCACTTCTGACCATGGATACATACCTTGGCCAATTTCCGGATATTAAAGTAAGATTCTCTTTAAACCTTTCGAACTAGAGAGTCACAGCAGATGAAACCTCATAAGAATCCATTTCTTGCATCCCCATCTTCTTTAGGAGGATGTGTGTGCTGTGCTGCTGCAAGCTCTCCTTTTAGAGCACCCAAGATCTTTGCAGCTCTGGGTCACATGAAAATGTTATGTTCTCCTTTTGGGCTTGAAATGAGAGTGAAGAATCCAGGGGAAAGATACTGAAGAGAAAACATAAGTGTGAAACAGGAGGATCCGTATAATTTCCTATTGTATCACAGTATAGGAGGGCAGCGTCAGCAATAACTCACAGCTCTCAGTCTCTCTTTTCAGTTCTTTGGTTTTTTAACTACCTTGTAAGTACAAAGCATTGAGGAAATAGTGAGTGGCAAATGCGCTTTATAGGTAGAGGCTGGTGTGGAAGGCAGATTGAGTCCTGCTGTGCATATAACCAGCTTTTTGCAGAGAAGGGGGAATGTTGGATAGGTCTTTCTTTGGGGGAGATCATATCCGGGACCTGGGTTTGATTGATGTCCTCTCCCTTCCCCCACAGTTATCTTCTCCATTCGTTTTGAGAAGGTTATTCAGGAAATGTCTTCACCATATGGAAGCGCTAGTAATGATATCACCATATGGGAAGTATCAGCTTGGCTTCTTCCCAGTGAAAACAACCCTTTCCCCACCACGTGTCTCTTAAAACGTTTGTCAATATTTGTTGCTTCACGAGGATCGTGCTGTATCAGAGGGGGGCAGGTCACAGGCTTGTAGAATGAGCCCTGAATAGCAGTGTCCTTACCTCCTGGGGCTCCTTGTTTTTGCTTCGTTTTTCCAGCCTCTTCTGTCCCTGGAATTCTGAAGTGGGGAAGGGCGAAGAGGCTTGTTGTTGCTTCCCACCCACTCAAGGCTGTAGAGCTGATCACTCCCCGTAGTGTGATGCCATGTGCCTCAGCTAGCAGCGCAGAGGCTTGTACACTGCTTCCTAAGCAGAAGGTTCTATTTCAGGCTTGCTGTAGACTCAGTCCAAATCCCACTTTACCAGCCTTGTCAGCTGTGCACTGGGTCACCTCAGAGTATCATGTTTCTTCCATGCTTAGTATCCTTGGGATTTCTTAATTCTGCTGGGGTCCCCCTGAGGTTTTATGGTGGCATTTTAGAAGGAGCACAAGACTGGGACCAACCAAATTCCACCAAAACTCAAGGTGTCAGGCACTGAGCTCCCATGGATCCTTTCTGTCTTCCAAATGGGCCACTAAAGTGTTTATTACTAATGTCCCTTTCTCAGTCTTCAGGTGATGCTCTAGAAAATGGGAAGTTAAAGCAATTTTGTGCACAATTTAAGAAATGCTTTAGAGAGAGCACTGCTCACCTCTGCTTCCCTTCCTAAAATGAGTGAGAATTTGGCTTTCTGTTGGTTCCTACAATAAGATATGGATATATTTCACAGAGTTGGCCATTTGTTTAAAATGGTCTTTCAGTGGTATGAATTTAAAAAGGTCAAAATGTTTTTATTGGTAGTTCAGCTGAATGCATCATCCTCCTTATGCCAGAGCAGTGAGAGGTGCTCAAATCAAGTCTGGTTTCTTCAACTGCTAGAAACTCTTGTAAGTACTGTTGTTGAAGGTTGCTACAGTTGTACAAAAGTGTACTTTGGCTTCACATAAGGAATTAGAGTTCTTGAGGTGTCAGGCAAAAAAACCCCAGTCTTATGTAATTTACAGAATGTATCAGTCGTTGGTTGTTGTGGTAATAGTTTTCTGTTTTGTGTTTTCCACAAAAGTAATTTTTCTGCTTTTCCTGGAATTCTGGCATTACTGTGATAATGAAAAATGATTTATGGAGAGAAGATGATTTTAGCTTAGTTATGTGAAGGCCTATTTTTTGTTAACAGCCTTGTAATTCAAATGTGTGATGAGTTAGATCATGCATGCATTATTTTTTGTTAAATTCTAACATCCACTGAAATCTCCTTCACTTGAGAGGCTGGAAAAATTCCCTTGAATTTTTTTACTTTCAACAGGATCCACAGCAGGGATGTGAAAACACAGCATTCCTTTAGTGGAATTTTTAATAATGAAAAATGATTTATGGAGAGAAGATGATTTTAGCTTAGTTATGTGAAGGCCTATTTTTTGTTAACAGCCTTGTAATTCAAATGTGTGATGAGTTAGATCATGCATGCATTATTTTTTGTTAAATTCTAACATCCACTGAAATCTCCTTCACTTGAGAGGCTGGAAAAATTCCCTTGAATTTTTTTACTTTCAACAGGATCCACAGCAGGAATGTGAAAACACAGCATTCCTTTAGTAAGGAATTTTTATAAGTTAAAGAGAATAATTTTTAAGTGTTGGGTGGGGAGGGGTGAACAAAGCCTGTCTTCTCTAACTTGAAAAACAGGAATGCAAAAAGTACTTTATCCTTTCTTTGCAGGTCAGTATCTGTAGTTTCTTGGAGTAGGACTCCTGCATAATCTATAATATTTCTGAGTGAGTTTTTGGTTGAGATTGCAGAGTACGCAATAAGAGTACAGGTCTCTGCAGTGAGCCCAGAGAAGATAAACCACAACCCAAGTTTTGAATAGCTGTGGAATTGGCGATTTTCTGTCTTGCACTGAAACTGGTGCCCTGTTTCTACTAGGTTTAAAGCCAAATATCAGTAGGGGTTGGGGGGAAGTGTGTTGTGGTGGTTTGGGTGGTTTGTTTTTGGTTGGGTGGTTTGGTTTTTTTTGTTTTTTAACGGAGGCTTAGATCAAGATGGATTTATTGCAAAGCAGTAAACTCTGTTGGAGTTCAGCTTTTACCGTCAGATAGTGGTGGGTAGCTGCAGGTATCCTAGAGTCATATGAGGAAGCTACCCTGCAGCCTTCCAGGGCTGGGCTAAGTCCCACTACTGCCATCACAGGCAATCGTGTGATCAGTGGTTATCGAGGACTCGCGCTGTATACGTACCTCACAGTATTTCCACATATTCTAGTAGAAATGTGAGGGTGGGGGTTAGAAGATTGGGGGCTGCAAAAAAGAGCAGGAGTGACCTTGTTGGGAGATGGGTGACATTGAATCAAATTCCCTGGTGGGGTGGCAGGGAAACCTACAAGTGGCTGTTTGCCATGTCACAGAGGTGGGCAAAACTCTAGCTATCTCTGCCAGTCTGACCTGGGGGAAAAATCCTCTCTCTTAAATCCATAATCTGGCCATGTGTTTTATCTGGCATGTGTGGAAGATGCATTAACTAGCATCTTGGAGATTGTCATACTGCTGGAAGCCCCCTCTAACATCATGTCTCCATGTCCGGCTGGCAGCATGATGTTGAGGAGGTGTTTTCTAGTGACCTCAGCTGTGAGGTGGCTCAGCTTCTTCGTGATTCCTCTCTCAGAGTGAGCCGAGTGCTTTGAAAATCAGTTTGGGTGTGCGTGTGGCTGATATCCTGCAGATCTGCCGTGACTCACACAGAGCTGCACCAGTGTTTGCTGAAAGCACAGAGGAGCGTGTGTAGGAGACATGCGAACTGGTCCCAGCTGGTCTGGCAGAAAGATCAGCCTTGAGTGCGGTTTTGCAGCTTATCTGCAGGAGCCTAGGGAGAGGAGACCGCATCTCCCTGCCAAGTGCAGTGGAGGGGGGGCATTTTGCTTTTGCAAGTAAATCTCAATGCTGATTCTTTATCTTGCACTTTAAGTTTCCCTGGGTGCTGTGGTTAATTAGATGCCCTACTGTCTCCTTGCCATGCCTTTTCACTCCAGCTCTCCAGCCTGTCTCTAGACTGATTACTGACACTGGACCAAGCTCTCCAAGCTAGGAGTGGTGCTAGGGTCAGCTGGGAAAACCTGTGCTCAAACCCAGATAGTCTGAGGTGTTTGTAGAGAGCGTGGAGGTGGGGGTCTAAAGGGGATGGATGGTTCTTAATCCAGTGGGCCTAAGCCTTGCAGAGGTGAATCTATGCTGGGGGAGAGAGCCCAAGGCACCTCAGATGAAGAGGAGTAATGGAGGATCAGGCCACAGGCCTGGCTGTCTATTCTAGACTCTCACCCATGGACCTGTCAGGACTCCATTCCTGAACACAAGTCTGGTACACAGTTGGCTCCCTCCTTGCATTTGTTACAGCTTCAGTATGTCTTGCCTATTAGTGACACAGTGCTACAGGTTTTCCCTCGCACTTGTTTAATAGCTAGTTACAATGGACTACTGCTTGTGGCTGCAGCCAATTCTGTCTGGACCTCCTGTGGCAGGGTCCAAAATGCTCTCCTAGGTGCATCCTGAGCACATGGATGAGTGCTTTTGCTGTGCTGGCAACAGAAATGCCTTCTTTTGTTGAACTTAATCTTTTGAGCTTCCACATGAACTAGGGCTGTGAGCTGGTTAGTTAGAATCTGGCTGCAGCCCTCAGGAGGCCCTGAAAATGATAAAGCAGGTGCCTGTAGGATGCAGGCACATGGGGAGGCTTAGGAAGCACCGGAGCTACAGTTCTGAAAACATTAATATCATCCAGAGGTGGGGCCTGTTGTTGGTTGGATCCCTTTGCTTTCCGTGGCTGGGTCTGCACTCCTCCTGAGGAGCTCCCTCTAGAATGGTGGTTGTCACAGGTGGCTCCCAGAGCCACCTCTCTGGGCAGCCTGTGTAGAGTATCCAGTGAGAGTCCTTGTGTGGGCAGAGCATGGGGTGCTCTGGAAGCTGGGTGAAGAGGAGGGGGATTTTCCTTGAGAGGCTTTGGGGTTTTGGCTGCTGGGGAAGATTGTCACAACTCTTTTCTCTATCTTTTTTAGTCTCGTATAGCGAAGCGAGGAAGGAAGCTTGTGGATTACGACAGTGCCAGACACCATTTTGAAGCCCTGCAAACTGCAAAGAAGAAGGACGAAACGAAAATTGCAAAGGTAAAGCAAGCAGAAGGATGTGCAGGCATCCTTTCATGTCATAAGGTCTACATTTGCCTACTGAGCAGTTTTTAAGTGCACCTCTACCTCTTCATTGGGTGTGTTTTGTTCAAAGAGGTGTCATGAACTGGTGAAGTTTGGCTAGGTATTTCCTTCTCATTTGTTTAGTTCTAGAAAGCAAGATGGTCTTTGCTGTGTTTGTTCAGACTCGCCATCATCGGTGAGCATCTCTTGGCAGCCAAGGCCTAGGTGTGCATTTCCTCAGACGTTGCAGGACCAATAACCTCTGTCAGGAAAGCCCGTGTGCCTCTGGGGGAAGCAAAGCCTTGCAGTCCCCCAGCAAAATTTGCCAGTTTGTCTGCTTCTTGGGGCTCTGTCTCCCCATCTTATAGCAGTGGTGAGAGTAAGGGTTTGAGTGTTGCTTGAGGTTGGTTGTGTTTGTGAAATCCTCTAAGACAGAGACCCCTAGGAGTGTGAATTACAAGTTCATTGGTGGAAATAGACCCTATGCACACTAGATGACTGTGTTCTGTTGTCTATTGGTCACAATTAGTGGACAATAAATATGTCTGAAAGCAGGAAAACAAGAGTTTTCTCTTGTCAGGGTGTGGTTTCTTTCATGCCTGTGAACAGCTTGATCTAGGGTTAACCCCAGAGCATGCCCAACATGCAAGTGCAGGATTTTTTTTTTCCTAATTAAAATAAATGTTGTTAAAAATAAAATTTAGATTTTCTTTTCAGTGTAGCTGAAGAAAGGTGATAGTGCTAACCTTGATCTAGAGGAGGCTCAATACCTGCCCAGAAAAGAAGCTGTGGATTACTCCTGTACCCTGAGTAGATTTGAACCCACGTGCTCCACTCCACAGGACCGGTCTTGACACAACAGAATAGTCCAGGGCTGGGGAGACAGCTTTAATTCTCTTGAATGTGGGCCATGGCACATCAGGACTCTTCAGGCTAGAAGCAGTGCAGGAAGGAAAGAGCCTGGATCTGTATCCTTTAACCAGGCTGAGAAGAGTTGTTATCCTTTGCTTAGAGTTATTTCTGGTGGGAGGAAATATTGCTATGTGAGAGGTGCTAGTGTTTCTCCTACATGGAAGAAATAAAGATGTATCTCTCCCCAGAGCGAAAGATCTGCATTTAATGGCCAACTGATACTACTTTCATTTTTAAGCTCCAAGTCATCAGTCATCTGCTCACCCAGTGCATGCACTGTGATTAACCTTGACAGACAAAGGGCAGAGAGATTGATGGCTCAGGTGTCATCGCATCATTTGTGTGGCAAGGCAGGTCTTGGTTCTGTATGCAAGGCACGAGGCCCAGCTGTTTGTGCCTTCTGTTCAAAGCAGTACTTTGCTGTGTTTGGGGGTAAAAGCAGAATTTCCCTGGGGCATGGTATTATTATTGGTGTGTGCCTGTGGGATCTTTGCTGCAGTGGAAATGGTTTTTGTAGGAATTCATCTACTCAGGTTGGTACCTGGTGATCTGCACCAAAGAGGCTGGCCTTCTTTGTCATTGCTGTACTCTCTTGTGTTGCCCCAAATGCTCACATAAGACATTATTAACAGGGGATTGTTTGTTGCTCTTTTAAAGTATGAAGAACAGTGAAGTTTGTAGAGTGAAATGTTGAGATTTAGGAGTTGGTGCTCTGTTCCTGACTCAGCCTGTGCAAGTGTCTCTTAGTACTTGATTGGACTCTTCGCATTAGCCAAAACGTACACTGGATCAGATCTGTCCACCCTCTGTGCTTTAGGCCATGAGCTCATGCATGAGATATGTGACACATCGTACTGTCCTGATCCTGTAAAGATGGGAGCAGTGAGTCCCCAAAATTTATGTGTGTTCTTCCCAAATGGGCAGGTTTCACAGCTCAGCCTGCGATCCCACACTTGCAGTCATGCAGCTCTGCAGAGCTGTGGGCAGCAGCCAGGGCTCGGCGTGCACTAGGCTGATGCAGGAAGTTTACCTCTCCGTTCCTGTGACTGCCGTTTTGCTCGTGTGACCTTTGAAGTAGGGTTGTTCTGATGTAAAGTACTCTGGAATATGATGACAGGCCCCTAGGAAAAAGAAATCTTGTTTATGGCACAGCATACAAATGGGAACTGACTTGATTGATATTTCATGGTATAGTAACACAAACAGCAATCCGAATACTTTTTGGAGCTATATGGTCTCTTTTTTTCTTCTCTAATACATGGATGTTCTTTTCCCACTCAGGACTCCTGCCACTTATTGCTAAACTCACAACCCTCCATTAAAATAAAGCACTGTGGACTTTCAGCTGTTGCATGCAAATAATTACAGTGGCTAATTAATCCTGACCTCTCTTTAAGGAGCTCTCCACAGACATGACTTGGAGTAGGGTTGTCTTTGTGCTAGGTCACTAACAACTGTATCTGTTGCTCTTTGCAGCTGCCTGGCTGGTCTGCAGTATCCCAGCCCACACTGGAACATTAATTACTGCTAAACTTGGCATGCTTCAAAGGATTCATAACTGATCCCTCCCGGGATGTTTGTTTTTTCTCTCGCCTTGGTGATACTGGTTTGGCCCAGCCTCTAAATACACTCTCTGTTGTGATTTTAATTTTTTTTTAATCCTAAAAGATATATGTTTGTGTCTCTCTTGTTCTCTGTTTATTTTTTTTCTCTTTTCACTCAAACATGCTCCCTCCCCCCAGCCTGTTTCGCTGCTTGAGAAAGCCGCGCCTCAGTGGTGTCAAGGGAAGCTACAAGCTCACCTCGTTGCACAAACTAATCTGCTCCGAAATCAGGTGACTGCTGATCTACCTGGCTCTAACTCTGCATGCGCTATTTTGGGCTCTAGATTGTACCATGCAACTAATCTCTAGGCAACGTTCACTCTAGTCCCCTCTGTTAAGTGTGTCCTTGATATTCCTGAGCCGCAGTGGACACGTGGAAGTTGCTGACCAATGAATGAATCTGTGCCTGCCCTGTTGATTTCTAATCAGGTGTTTTAATACTGGACTATTGTTTTCTCCCCCTAAAATGAAACGAGGATGAAGAAAGGCTATGGAATAATGCCAAGGCAGAGGGTGATGTAGTGTAGTTCCTCCAATTATTCCTTTCTTTTCCTTCTGAGAGAAGCAGTCAATTTTTGCTGTTGCTGTTTCAAAAAAAAGAAAAAGAAAAAAGAGGAAAATATTGGAAAAGTTGACTTTTGCATTTCTGCTGTTGAGTAAAGCCAGAAAAAAACGCATTGCTTCAAAAGCAATTTCTATGGCTGCTGAGTTAAGTTGCAACATTCTCCCATGGTAAAAACCAAGTTTCCAAAACAGGCACTGTCCTGGCTCTTGTGGTCTAAATGAGCTGTTTCCAGGTGTACAGAGGTTCAGTCTGCGTAGGAGAAGAGGTGGGCCCACATCAGGGAATTTGCACCCCGTGTAATGTATTTGAACAGCTCCAGGTTGAGGTCATGGTTGTGTCATGTGGCAGAACTTAGCCAAACATTTAGGTTATAGCATCTTGAGGGACATGAGAGCGGCTCAGAGTAACTGCAGCGACTAAGAATTTCAATCCCACTTGCACAGGAGAAGTGTGGCTTCCCGATGAAATCTCCCTTGGTATTTACCTTGGAGCTCTTTAAGTGGTAAGAGGGAGCTGACAGAAAACAGTGAGTGAGAAGAAAATGCTTTCAATGAGCGAGGGATAGTAAATCATTACCCAGACTAGGAAAGCGACAGTTTTTTTGAGCTCATCTGTTCTCATTCAAATGCTCCTACGTTTTCACAGTCCTTGTCAGTGAATGAATTGCGGTTTAGAAACACTAAATCACTCTCACCTTATAAAGCACCTGGGTTTTTCACAGTCAGTTTATGACTGCAGATCAGGGAAAAGACTAGATTACCACATCAGTAAAGCCTGGGGAAAGAACAGCTGTTAGCAGTCCTGCTTAACATGCATAGCAAAGGGAAGAAATATGTATTCATTCTTGATTGAAGGGAGAAGGACATTTGGCAGGCTTCCAGGGGCTTTTCCTGTGCCTCTGCCCTGCTGGGAACAGTCTGCATGGCTGTGGTTCTTGACTGGTCTGTTTGGCTGCTGGTATTTCTGGAGGACTAGCAAGCAGGTACAGGAAGTTTCTCCAGCAACAAATAAATAAATAAATAATCTCCTGGGCATTTTTCGTCTTCTCAGACTGGGTGGGGTGACTGGGAGTAGCACCACTGCCTGCAGATTGCCTAGAGAACCAGTACCTACGAGTGCTCCCTCATCCATTGCGCTCTGATTTTGGACAGGCTACTGAGAGTCGATCGATAATTTCACTGTACTGGGTGACTTTGCCCTAAAGCAGGTGACAAGGGGGTATGTAATCTTTCCACGCACTGTGGTGCGGGGGTGTTAACCTCCTGCTAAGTGACATTTAATATTTTCAGTTACCCCAGGTATTTTCAAATCAAGTTAAGTCCTCCTTTAAGTTTTTCTTCTTTCATTCTTGAATTAAATAATAGTATTGCCAGCCTTAACTTTTTGTTGCTACTTGTGCGAGTTTTTGGATTTTGCATGTTTGGGGTTTTTAAATTTTTATTTTGATTGGGGACTAACAAAAAAAATCTCAGTGAAGAGGAATAGTTTGTATTCTGAACCTGTAGGTTTTCCAGCTTTTCCTTCACTAATACAAGCAGGCGGGAAAAAAAAGGCTTTAGTTTTTATATTTGCATGACTTCAAGACAGAAGGTGTTACTTGCAACCCTAAATCTCATTTAAGCTCTTGATAAAAGTGGGAAGGCTGATGACACTGCATGTACTGAAAAGCTTCAGAATGTTAAGCCTAAAAAAAAAAATAATCCGTCCCCTTACCTGCAGCTGTGTTGCTGTCTCTTGCCTGGTGATTTTTACAACCTCCAAGCAAAAATGGGGTCAGCAAGACCTATTATTTCTACTGTAAAACTAAGTCCCTCCCTCCAGTGTGCAAGCTGCTGGCTTTTTAGGCCTTTAGCAGATACTAACAAAAACATACAGCGGAGGTTTTCTGTAAAGTCTCCTGGGGGGTCTGCTATTGCACACCCTCAGTTACAAATTTTGGTGACTGGGCTTTTTGAAACAAAAGGGAAAATGGCTTAGAACAGCAAATTCTTGCCTTTCTGCTAAGCTCTCCTGAAATGCTGAATACAGACTAAAAAGCAACATCCTTGGTGCTGCAGCGATAACATAACCTCTGCCTCGCGGTTGTCTAAACTATTAACTGAGCAGTGCGTAATTACCACAGTTTACAGCATAGTGTTTGAAGAGGAATGGTCACTGGATTGCCTGAAAGCACCAGGCTGGATATTGCCAGACACTTACGCGTGCTGGGATGCATGATGGTAGGAAATGTAATGGGGAATAACCGCCCCCCCCTCCCCCGTCACAACTGAACTGGTTGTGCTTGGCACTCTGAGCCTTGGCTAGGGGGAAGGTCAGGAAAACATTTGTGTTGTCCAGCTCCTGCTCAAACCTTCCCCCTTTCAGGCAAGGAGAGGAGAGGAAGAATTTTCTTAGATCGCATTTCATGGACCTGGCGATTACGTCCTTCTGCCTCAGTTCTCCATCAGGTTGGCAACAATGACAGCTCAAATAAAAAGTGCACAGATATGGTAGCAATGGGCTCCACCCCTGAAACCTCTGTCTTTCCTCCTTTCCCCACCGTACTGCATGAACTGGATTTTCTTCTAGCAGGGCTCATGACCAAGTTGATGTCTGTCTTCCGTTCCAGCTGGAAGCAGTCAGGGCTATCCAGTGTCAGGACCCCTGCTTCCAAGCAAAATAAATCCCACTGGTGAGAAGATCCCTGGGCAGACAAAGGAGTGAAGAATTAATTCAATGCTATAGCTGGGACTGAGAGCACTAGCTGAGCTACAGGCACTAGATGGATCCCTGATTCCTACAGCTACTCTAGAGTGAACGTTGCCTGTTGCTGATTTTGCCTTTGCCTCGGGATGTCACAATATTCGTGCGTTGCTTTCTAGGTTCTTTGACCTTCTGAACAGGTAAACAAGAGAGGGAAAGTGTTGTTAATATTCACTGTATCTGAAAAGCTAACAACATTCAGTGATGCCTCGTCTCCCAGCTATCTCACCTCCTGGGTTGATTCTGGTTCCAGTCTAGTTTGGAAATTAGAATAAGATAAAGCCAAAGGATGGACTGGGATTTTTTTTCTTCCTTTAAAATGGTTACATTAGAAACATTTATTCGTAGAGGGATTTTCAGGCAGAATGAGTCTTTGTGATCATTGTCTCTGATCCAGCATAAACTGTGTCTCTGTTTAAATGGGGTTTTTGTTTGTTTTGTGCAAACTCTCTTGAAATGTTGGGTTTTTCAGTGAGTGTAGCAGCAAAATACAGGGGTTTCTGGGTGGAAGCATCATGGCCCCTTCTCCTCCTGCCTGTTCCTCACAAGGTCGGCTTAGCTTTTGAATACCTCCCACTTGTGTCTTTTTCTGGGGTAAACTTTCTCTTCTGATCTTGAGTACAAAGTTTTAGCCTTGCCTTTGGCAGCAATGAGCGACCCTCTGAAAGGTGGAGCTAGCTGGAAAGTAGGAGCTTCTGCGGCTTGCTCATAAGTCAGGTGAGAAATGGAGAGTGTAAGTATCCTACACAACACTGTGAGGAACAGGGCTCTGAAATGCAAAGTATTTTTAAGTCTTCTCCAATCAATCCTATCTTTGCATATACCTGTCACTAAGGAGCAGTAAGCTGGATTTCTTTAATTAAGCTGGCATAAAGAAGATAAAACTTCATTTTGTAGAAGGGGTAGGAATCTGACTGCAGGCTCGTAGAGAGATCCAGTTCCCTGGTGTCCACATCTAAGTAGGCACTGACCTTCCTGTTAAGATGTGTCATTGAGTTGCTCGTGCAGGGATTTGCCATCCCGCATCCCACTGCACAGGGTTATGGGAGAACAATCCTGTGCTGTTGCAAATTATGGATTAGAAACATTTTAATTAGCAAGCTTTGAGTTTTAAGTCAGGGCACTGAAAAGAGGAAGAGGTCACCTAGAACAAGTATGGGAAAGGGAATGTTCTTGTTGCTGGTGTCTGCTGTCAGCAACAGAAGCCAGGATCATCCTTTTTGTCACTGAAACCCAGCAGAACTCATGTATCAGTGTTGGGGTCTGTCAGTGTCTGGGTCAAATGAACAGATTGAATTTAAACTCTCAGCTGGGAGAAGAGGTCCTGTACAAGGCATATTTCCTTTGGTGTTGGTGGCCAACAGCCAGCCAGGGATTGCTCTTGTGTTAGATCCTCACCAATGAGAGCATGTGAGACTGCTGAAGCCAAGACCTGCTGCTCAGGCCCTCCAGCCTGGCCTCCTGCTGGCACAACTCATGCTTTGCATACCCTTCCTTGCTTTTCTAGTCAGCTTTGTGAGAGAGCTGTAGCAGCCAAGGATGCAGACCTCCTCCCTTCCTCAGAAGAGATGGGGCTTTGGCATGACCTTACCTGAGCAGAGAGTCCCCACAGGGGAGGACTCTTCTTCAACACCATTTGGGATGGATTTCAACTCTTTCAGAGACCTGGTGAGGGGCAGGGGCCACTATTGTTTTCATCTGTATCCAGGCTGGAGGCTGAACTGCCTGACCACCTCGATTTAGTTTTTGAAGCCCGGTAAACTTATAGAACTTAAAACACATTAGTGAATGTTTGAATTACTTTCTGAGTATCCAAACGGTGAAATCTATTGAGAGAAAACCTGAGAGTAATATATGCAAGCTTGAAGGGTCATCAGGTCACCTGTGATGCAACCCTGGTTCCTGGGAGACTCATTTGGGATGGGGATTACTCCATACCAGAATTTTGCCTGGTCTCCCAGGGAAGTCAAAAGAGTCACAGTTGTCCCAGCCCTGCAGGGTACTTGTCTGCACTGGAGCTGACAATCTCCTTTCTCTGTTATTAAGGCTGAAGAAGAGTTAGTAAAGGCTCAGAAGGTGTTTGAGGAGATGAACGTTGATCTGCAGGAGGAGCTGCCCTCACTATGGAATAGGTGAGTGCTGGAAGTTTTCCCGAGGGCTGGTTGGAAGGAAGCTGTTCTCCTAGCTTGGGCTGGGTGTCTGCTCTTGTTTTCTGGATCATCTCAGAGAGTCTGTCCTAGGATTACCCCCACCCAAGTTCACCCTGGGCTTTCTGTGCTTTGCTTCGTGATACTCATGAAAAATTCAGTTTTACCACAAACAGAAACTGTGTTTCTATGCTTTGTTTGATTAATCCCTTTGCCCCACCAACTCTGCCCAGCTTTCCTGGGCAATGGCCCAGCTTCTGCTGTGGACAGCAGACAGAGCAGGCTGGGTCACTAAGATTTTGGGTGTGGAGCTGGCTGGCTGGAAGGAACATCTGCAGCTGAGTGGGTATGTCAGCTGACTGATTAAGGGAAGATGACACGTCAGAGGGGTTTATATGGTCACCGGGGTTGGAGAAAGCCAAGAGGTGATGCCTTGATCACTGTGTCTCGCCATGCAAGCTTATGAGCACCCTGTGAAGCAGCAGGTTTAATGTAAGAGGGAGGATAAGAGGGCAGGTTGCTCTGCTTTGGATGCCACTTTCGGGTTTGGGCAGTTGGGTGAATAAAGATGAGGGAAGGATCCTGGTGTGGCTGCCTTCTCTTGCACCTAAATGTGCTCCTGGCTACGTGACAGAGGACCCAGTGAGGAACTAGTGGTTATAACTGTCCCGTTGTGCTCTATTTAACAAAACATAGCCTGGGCAAAGGAAAATGGGCTGAGAGAATAGGAAGACTTGAGAGACAATGGATTTTCCATACCAATGATTATGGTGATGAAAAGGGAGGAGAAAGAAGCAGACCAACATTTAGCTTACATGTCCGTCTTCACTGCCCTTTCCTGCCAGCCTGGGTCAGGACTCTTTGCTCAAAGCAGCATGCAGGCCTGGCTGAGGAAGAAGCTGGGAGGGATACAGGCATCTGGGTGGTTCCATGTGCAGAACGGTGATGCCGCTGGCCTTAGAGAGCATCTCCCTCCTGCTGTTGCTCCTCCAGCTGGGAGCTGGTACAGCACTCTCTGTTGGCAGCTGGCAGGCTGGCTAGAGAAAGGAACGCGGCAGGCAGCTGCTGGGATTTTAAGGTGCCACAGGTTGTTCACAGGCTCCTGCTATCCAGCTGATCCTTCTGCTTTCCTGTTGCTCTCTGTGCCCATCCTGTGCTTTCTTACTCTTCTGCCCCTGAAGCAAATAGTTCATGCTTTTTTGCTTCCGCTGGTGCTGCGTGACTTCAGAGTGAATTAATATCTGTCCTCCTGCCAATTCCCCTAGCTCTCCCCACACTCCACCTGTGTCACAGCCTCTATCCTTTTCCTTGCCATCACCCTACCACTGGCTCTTTTTTTTTTTTTTCTTCTTTCCTGTTTTTTCTTTCTTTCCCCTGCCCTGCACCTCCCTCTCCCTTTAGCCAGCACAAATTCAGATCCTATCTCACCTGGCCTCCTCCTCACCTTGGACATGTTTGCCCCATACCTGACCTTTGATCCACCATCCCCTTCACACTTCTCTGCCACCCTTCTCTTTCAGTGTGTACCAGACCTGACAGAGTGGAGTTTGAACGGGAATATGGTGGGTGGGAGGTAGCAGAAGGGGCAGAACTTATAGTCTTTGGGAGAGTGTCCATTAAGTTCTTCTGTCTCATTTTCCGTTTGGCAGTCGTGTTGGTTTCTACGTCAACACATTCCAGAGTATAGCAGGCCTAGAAGAGAACTTCCATAAAGAAATGAGCAAGGTAAGGAAACTAACAGTTTATCCTACTAATACACTCTCTCCTCACTGTGAATTAAAAAAAACAAACAAACAAACAAAAAAAAAAAAGAAAAAAGCAGCTGGAGAAAATGGAGCATTTGGCCTATGTCAAAGGAAAAGGTTAACCGTTACTTTTTTCTGAGCCACTTGGGAGAAAGGCTGAGATAGTAATGTAAAGGGATGGAGCACAGGGAAGAGACTGCAGGGCCATGCAGCAGCGGGGAGTTTGTGTCACTTGGCAGAGCTCATTTGCAGATCCACAGGGGGAAGGGAAGTCACTTTCAGGCCTATCTCTTGCTGCCTTTTTGAGTTCATCTACATTATGGATCAGTAACCTATTACCTGGGCAGTCTCAGCCTGGTATCTATTTGCCTCCTCATCTGCTGCCTGGCAGCAAGTTGCTGTGAACCCTCATCTCTCTAGCTGTGGGCATGAAAACAGCAGGGAATCTGCCAATCTGCAAGTTCGCCGAAGACAGACCCGCCTCACTCCAGTCCCTCAGGAAGGCACTTCCCAGCAGTACCTCTCTGCTTTGGCTGCTTTCCAGCCCTGTGACCCAAAAGAAGGCATTTGAGTGCTTAGCATGGCCCTTGCATGAGCTACCAGTTGGCCATGAGTTGGGAATCACAGCAGTAAGCAGTGTTGTAACCTGGTGATGGCAGACTGGATGCTGGTGCGGTGTGCCAGTGCCCAGCAGAGACCTCAGGAACAGTCTGTGGGAAAGCCCCCACTGCCTCTTGCATTTACAAATATGTTCTTGTTTTTTCACTTAAAAGCTAGAGAAGTCTTGAATTCCTCAGGTCTGTACGCTACTCCTAAGAGTTGCACGCCCTCTGTAAATGTTGCACTAATCTTGATGAGTGACTGAGAGCCCAGCTGGAAAACTCTTGTATTCCCTCCCCTCCCCAATGTCATCTTGACAACAAGACAGCCACTAAGCAACGAGCAACGTTATAGTCCTTCAATTCCCAGCAGTCAGGGGCCCTCTGCCTTGGTGTAATGCATCAGTTTTGAGCCCTGCTGACATTTCATGGGGACCTTTCCAATTAATAGCCTGCTCTTCTCCACTGAGGAATGAACTGATTGTTAAGAATAGGGAGGATTGTTATAATTATGTTTGTTGCTGTTAACTTACATTCAGCAAAACATGGGAAAGATGCTTGTGAGACAGGAATTCTCTTCTTATATCATATCTTGGATTTTTCTTTCCTGAGGAGTTGTGTATCAGAGCAGGGCTTTTGCTTTATTCCGTAAGAACCATCTGTTTCTTATTACTGCTATAGCATCCAATTAACTGCTGGTGTTGCCAGCACAATGCCTCCAACATTGATTGCATTGGATCCCTCCTCCTACCAATGATAAATCTGGCATCTCATCGTGTTTATGAATTGGCTGTTTCAGAATAGGAGTGTCTGGAGTGAATCTTGCAGCCTTCAGTGCAGGGAGAGTTTAACCCCTAATATTGCATTCTGCAGAGATATCCAGGTCCTGCGCAAACCTAGATGGCCCAGGTAGCCTGTGAAGTCAAGGCTTGTTGTTAACTGGAAGTCCAGCTGCCTTTGGGCTTCACAGTTGAGATGGCCACATCCCAAGGTTTATAAGCAGGTCTGAGGAACAGCTTTCACTACAAATCCAGAGTGAAGCTTCAGTTCTAGCACATAGACCCTTAGGTAAACACACTGCCCACTTTTGCAATGGTACACACTGGTGGGGGCAGGTGGTAAAGGAGCAAAGAGGATGATGTGTAAGGGAGGCAGAGCATTCCCACAAGGCTCCAGCAGCTCTTCGACAGTTTGAGTGCTGTAGCATTTCATACCCCACGGAGGAGTGGAAACAGACGTAGGGCTGTCCTCTCTTGGGATAGCTGAGTATGCGCACATGTCCGGGCGCAAGCCCGTGTTTGGTCAGCCTGTGCAGGCCAGCTCAGACTCTATTCTGGCACTTGGGCTCTTTTCTCATTCTTTTTCTTTTTTTTGTTTTTGTATTTTGCAGTTGAACCAAAACCTCCATGATGTCCTGCTGGGTCTAGACAAGCAGTACTCAGCCAATGCCTTTCCCGTTAAAGCACAGCCCAGGTCAGTAACTGTGGGAGTAGTGTCAGCAGGGGAGGAGGGACAGGGATGTCTCTACCAGGGGTATTGAAACCTCCATGTTGTTGGTTGGGGATTGATTTGACTACCTGTATATAGCCAGCCAGTGCCCTCCTGAGACTCCCTAAAGCATGTCCAAGATTGCACTTGGGGCTGGGTGACACAATGCAATACCTCTTACCTTTCTAGAATAGAATCTGGAGGCCTAAACTTTCACTAGGTGCTGATATTTAGGCAATTGACTCTCAGCTCTGCTTTTTTAAAGTCAAATTCCATGCACTGACATGTAATACTGAGCTGCCCCTCCTTCTGAGTTGAGTTGCCCAGCTCCTGTCCTGTTCTTTCCCTCAAAAGCTTCCACCATGGACCTGGAGCTTGTGAGCCTGAGCACCAAGAGCCCATTTGTTTCCCCAGCATCCTCTTTGGCCCTCCAAACTTGGACCCACCTGTTTGCCAAAGCCTTATGCCCCTCCTGTGTACCCAGCTGCAGTGCATTTCCTCTGTGTGTGTTGTGGAAGTAGTTGCAGCCTCACTAATATGAGGCCTCCTGATCTCAGAGCACTTCTAATCTGCACATAAGCAAGGAGTGAGTGTCCTCCAGGCCTTTAGCTTTCTTTCCTCAACTGGGTCCAGTCCTGTATGGTTAAGTGCAAGTCTGCACATTCTCTAGCACTGAGAGGGGAGGGAGAGGTCGGGCTCTGGATGAGGCTGTCTGGCTCCCATCCAAATGTGTGAGTGATGAAACAGTGTTGGGCTCTGGCTTCCAGCTGCTGCTAATCCCACGTGCCGGGTGAGCAGGAGCACAGCCCAAGTCCTCAATTGGTGTATTGATGGAGGGAGGAGGTGAAGTCAGCATGAAGTAAGGGCAAGCTGTGGTCTGAGTGCACTGATTCGGAAGGGCTAGATCAGCTGTTGAGACCTCTGTGCTCCCTTGTTTAACCTCCTATTGCAGTTGTGCATAGACAACTTGCGTGTCTTGTTCCAGCAATGTGTGTGGTGTTTGCCAGCTCTAAAGAAAGAGGAGGTTTGAGCTGAATTTGGCCCCTGAATTTTGGATTGCTAACACTAAATTTTTAAGGTGCTAGTAGGAATGCTTCTTGTGAAAACAATATCTTCTTCCCAAGTTAGCATGTGGTGTCTGTTGATCATCACAACCCAACAAGACTGAAGCCTTGTGAGGAGGCCGTGGTGCCCATTCTCTTGCTGCCATGTGCCCTGTTGTCTCTGATGGCAGCATCCTCCAGGGTCCTTGGAAGAGGATGAGGTAATAGGACAGATGAAAGGTGTAGCCATTGCTTTGTCCAGCTCCCTCCTCCTCCTTCCTTTCTTCGTCAAGAAAGTGATGGCAGGCTGTAGTGGCAACCTGGCCCAGACATGTTTGTTGTTGTTGTGGCATGAAGTTTCTGGCCTGAAAGAGCTTCCAGTGAATAAATTACCTGTCCTCACAATTCCAGCCCCCACAAACTGCTAGCTTTATCTGGGGATGTAATGGTTGTCTCAGCTGCAGTTCTGTGCTCTTTGGCTGGCTATGAGACCACATGGCCCTAAAAACTGAAAATGAGCGCACACACAGAGGTCCCTGTGCGGGTAGTAATCCGAGTGCTGCTGCTTCATCACTTAGTCCCTGCATCTCAGCTGAGATGCCAGACCTGCCCCAGAGTGACTCTCTTCCTCCTGAGCACAGTGGAGCAGGGGAGGAGCATGTAACAAAGGTTTGCCAGGGTAGTAAATACGTTTTGCAGTGACCAGGAAATGCTGTGAGGCATGTCTGCCTCTCCTGCACATCTGGCCTCTCATTGTGTCGCAGGGCTGGAGCAAGAGTGTGCAGGAGGAAATAGCCCTCACTGATCTGATTGCTTATTGTGGTCTGCTGTAGGAGCAGATGTTTCCCTAACCCTTCTCTACTGGGAAGAGGATTGGAGGTGGATACAATGGAAGGAAATGAATGAGAGAAGGTGTGAGAAGAGAGGCAATTATCTGTGCATATCATTATGGCATTCATGCAAGGCCCTACAGAAATATTACTGTGGCTGATGAATCTGATGCTGGCTGCGTAGCACAGTAGCACAGAGCAGCTGATGCATTTCTGAGAACCTCAGACATATGTTTGGGATTTGTTTCTGAAAGAGTTTGAACATTCACGGCTCAGATGCCTAGAAGACCTAGGAGATCTGAAGCGTTATCCTAGTATGATTGGACAAACAGGAAAAAGACATAGTAGGAAAGATGCTGATTTGGTTCCACGTATAAGACTGCGCACAGATCACATTAGTAAAGAAGAATGGGGAGCTTGTTTCTTGTGTATCAATATTTACAGGGGAGAGTGAGGAGCCGTATTACCTGTGAAAAAAAGGACACTTACAGTTCTCTCCTGGTCTATACAGTTTCCTTTTTCTTCTTCTCCATGTGCACCTTGGCCCCATATTCCAAAGAGCAGGAAAAACGCTAGTTTGCTCACATACATGTAGATCTTTGACAAGCACAAAAAGCCCTCTCCTACCCTCTCCAAACCAGACCATAGCTTTCTAGGAACCAAGGGAACCGTGTACGTGTTTGTGTGTGTGTGAGAGAGAGAGGAGACCTTGTCATCTTGGTTACAGTGAGTTTTGTGGCACCAAGTGAATGGGTGCTTAGAAGCTTAACTTTTCCTCCCTGGTTTGACTGTGCCATCCTGTAACGGAAATGATTTGCGTGCCATCCTCAACAGAAAGAAAACTAAACTGTTCGCCAGGCTGAGGAAAAAGATGAGCAGGTACCGGTACGGAGAGCAGCATTTCGATACGTGTTTGATTTAGTTCCTAAAACTGGAGAGGCTGTTGCTGGACTCTAACAGCCTGGCACGTGTTAACCCTGTGATGGGAGAGGGGTCCTTTGCATGATACGATGTGTTCATGGCCTGCTGGGTCCTGCTGAGATCTCTCTGTGTCTGGATAATCCCATTAACTGCTTGTGTGCCTGGTTTGAATCCTTGCTTCTTTTCCTATCTAAGAAGGCAGTGTGAAAGCTCAGGCATTGTCTATTCAGTTGGTTTTGTGTGACTAAAAGCACGGTGCTGGGTTTTCCGTGGGAAATATGGGCAATTTTGGTGATTAACAACTTCTAGTTTTACCTAGTGGGGCTTGCCCTTTTGAACAGGTCTGAAATGCTGCATTCTCATTCCCTGCCTGGCCAGGGAGGACCATGAGGCAGGCCTTTCACACTCAGAAGTCCTGCCCTATCTACCTGTTGCAGTTGGGAGGATGATGAGGTGGGAGGAGGACACTTCCAGCTTTGCTCCTTACTTGCTCTGTTCTTGAGGATCCTCACTGTCATGCGCCATCCATTTAAAATTCTGTGCAGGGCTGAAGGCAAAGGAAGCCTATTGTCTTGTTTAAAGACTAATGTCAGCATCTTACCTTTCAAGGCAGTGATGGCATTGAATAACTGGATTGCTACAATGCCTAGAGTTACCATAGCCAAGGTCAAGGACTCTGACAAGAACATGCTCTGGAGCAAAGTGGGAATTGCTGCGTAATGTCATGGAGACTTCCTCTAATTTTTGCTTTTCTTAGTCTTTGTGTTGGTACTCCCTCCATGGGGTCCTTATAGGAAGAAGAAAAAAAAAAAAAATTCAAGATGATGTCCTGCCAGCAATAAAAGCAAGTGCTGGTGGATTGAGGTCAATGCTTTTCTGATCCGGGCTTCCCAGTGACTAGGGCAAGTCACACAATCCTTCTGTTTGTCTCTTTGTAAAGTGGGAGGTTGGAGGGTGGAGAAGGGTAATTTCACAGGGAAGCTGATGGGCAAATCTTGATTTTTATATCCTCAAATAAAAAGTAATGAAGGAATGTCTTGTGTTGTTACTATTCTGAGGTTTTCTACTATAGGAAAAGGAGGATTCACAGGAGTACTTCTCTGGATGTCTGTCTCTGGTCCTTGATTGGACCAGTGTTGTACCTGCACCAGGCAGGACATCTAATATTTCCAGTCACTGAGAACGGATGGATGCTACAGCAGAGGGAGAGAGAGTAAATCTCATCTCGATGAGCTCTAGCCATAATGTCCTCCTGCTCTGCCCTGATGAGGTCCAACGGGCCCAGCAGTTAAGGTGCCTGACCTGGGCTCTGCTGGGAGTTTCTGCTGTCAGAGCAGCTGCTGGGGTCACAGAGAAATATGCAACCCCTGATGCAGGGAAGGAGACTCGGTCACTTTGATCTGCAGCAAGAATGTACATTTGTGCCACCATATGCTTGGGTATGCAGGTGCTTCTTCCTCCTTTCTCCTGCCCCTTCTCTTTTTTTTTTTTTTTCTTTAAAAAAAAGTAATTCTCCAGCGTGCTTTTGTGCTAAAAAACACTTTTGGCTAAAAGGCCCTGTCTGAACCTTAGCTGAGATGCCAACCTTTTTTTCTTTTTAGCTTGAGAACTTGGCGGGAAGTGACTGGTCTGTTTTTACCATATTGGAAAGTAGGTTTCATCCTCTAACGCAGGATTGTTACAAGCACATGGGAACCCCATCTGCAGAAGTTACTCTGCTCTTCCAGAACAGACGAGGCAGCCCCATGAGGGGTCCAAGAGCTCAGCAGTACTAAAAGAGGCTGGAGGATTTTGGCTTTCCCTTCAGCTGCAGTAACTGTATTAGACCCTGTTCCCAACTCTCTCATTCCAGAAGAAAGTTGACACCCACTTCCCTTCCCTGCCTGATATTCCTGGATTTGGCATCACTTCCCAGTTGCTCATGGGAAGGAAAAAGAGAGAGAGCAATGACCTTGTTGTTTTCACTTTTTTTTACTGTGGTACTCACGTTTGGTCAGTGGGGACAGTCCCCACACTCTTGCTTTTCCCTGTGTTTCTTGGAGCAAGCAATCAGTTTGGAGACAGGGCTTTGCTCTGTGTGGGAAGTGAAGGGGACCCGTGAAGGACAGAGGATCCTGGTGACAAGCTCGCTTGATGCTGGTTGCACTGACTAAATGCATGCAAAGCGACAAGTGCAGGAATGAAGGTGCCGCTCGGGGGGCTGGAAAAGGCTCAGCCAAAATTAGCACTGGCATTTTCCTAGGGGGATCAGCCAACACACCAAACAAGCTGTAAATAGTAGTGACTTAATGAAGGCTTTAGTGTGGGGCCCTCTCAGCCCTTGTAGGATGAGGGGAAGAAACTGGACTGCCTTTCATGTGGGAGCCTTTTACCAATATATCTCCAAATTAAGTCACTGCCAGGCACCAGAAATAAGGCACTAAAAAGCTGTTTCACAGCCTTTGAAAATAAGCCTGAACTCCTTTCTCACTGGGAGAAATGGCCTCTTCGGGTCCCTGAAGGAAAAGTCTACCCTTGTGTTGGTAGGCCAGCTGAGAGCCAGTAGTCCCAATATTTCCAATGTAGTCTGGGCATTTGAGGAGTCCTGGCAGTCTAGCTGTAGATCACTGTGTCCCCCATCTTCTCCAAAGTGCTTTCAACTCTAGGGAAGGTAACATGTTTTTTTTTTCCCCAACTCTAGCATCAGAGGACATTTTCTCTCATTTCCTGCTGTTCCCTGGTTCCTCCCATTTAGAGCAAGACTTCCTTACCTTCACCCTCCAACCATTACTACTTTTAATCTGTAGCACAGCCTTGTCAATTTTGCAGAATCCTTCACACCACCCACTGTTTTGAAGTGATTTCTGGGGACCTCTGAGGAAGGACACTGTAGCCATATCCAGTCAAACTGAAGAGCTGCAGGGGTTGGTGTACATGTTCTTAGTCCCTCCTCTTCCCTCTTTCCTCTTCCTTTCCCTCTTTTTCCCTTGGCGTGCGTGCCCCTGGTTGAGAGCTGCTGGCAGAGAACATCATTGGGTTTGTTGCATCATGTTGGTGTGCTACTGGCATCAGTGTCATCAGAAACATCTGACCTGCATGCGGACCTGAGAACAAGCGCTTTGTGGGGAAATGTGTGTGTGGGGTGTGGATATGGGGAGAAAGTGGGGGGAATGGGTGAGGGCAAAGTGAATGAAGAGGGAATGGGATGGGGAGCTTGAAAGCTGGAATGCTGAGCAGGGGGAGATGCTTGCTTGGAAGGGGAAGTTTGTTGAAATGCCTTGCTGTCCCTTCCTCTTCTTGCTGTCCCCCTACTCGTGAGTGTTTAGGAATGACGCCATCATGCATGTTAGCCGATGACCACCATACCTCGGGCATCCAAGTGTGAGTGGATGTACAAGTCTGGAGCTCTGGGCTCTCTTGGGACAGAGCAAAGAAAGAATCAAGTTGATGTCCCTGCAGAATCAGGTCTGCATTGCTCTAGTCCTGGCTCTATGCCAGGATTTATTGTCTCAAGTTATAGGAAAGGATCTGTTCCTTTCAGCCTTCTCCCAAGGCCTTTAACTTCACAAGAACTGCAACTTCCTAAGTGGAGGCAAATATCGCTCCCTGTAGATGAGGTTGCACAGCCCTTTTGCAATATCCTGTAATATTCTGTTTTCAGCTATGTATAGTTTTGCCAAACTGTAACCACTTCTACTAAAATATCCCCTACCAGTGTCTGTGCTTCTACATGACTGGAGATAAATTGGTAAGTTGCTTTTTGGGGAGCTGAATTTCAGCCAAAATGTTTGAGAATTAGGCTGGGGAAAATGGTTTTACCTTTATCCCTGTTGAAATTCTCTGGTAACCAACTTTTTACTAAATATCATGATTCCGTACTTTGAAGCACAGACTTCACACTTGGCCAGGGCATGCCCTTAGGGAAAGGCATGTGCCTTTTGCCATTCCTTTGAAAAATCTGTCCAAATCTGGTCAAGTTGTGAACCAACAAATGCCACTGGTATATGCTCCTTGTATCTTAATTCCCTGAAGAATCCCTCTTGACTGTGTGTCAGAAACAGTCCTGGAATAGGGACCAACTGGAAAGGCAGGGGCAGAAGGGGTTCATCATTGAAAACGAGGCTGGGGAGACCTTCCATAATAGAGAAATCTTTATTAGTAGGCAGAATCTCACTGTTTCTTTGCTGTCTGGAATAATCTGTGAAACCTCTGGCTACTTTGCCCCTTTTCCAGCTTAGCCAGTTTGTACCACATAGGGGAATAAGATATTCTACGGATCACAGGTGTTATGAATCTATTAGTTATAACCCATGCAGGTGTCAGAACACCACCATGCAGAAAAATTCTTATCTGTAGAATTTAAAACTAAATAAGCTGCACAGAAATCCCCTATCTGCTTCCGCAGTATTAAGACTATGACTTAACGTCAGGCACTTACATTAGAATCTAGCAGAATTAAGGATGCCTGATTGGTTTTTTGGTTTTGTTTTTCTGTGTCTGAGGCAAAGTAGATCCATGGAGTAGGAGTTTAGTGAGTAGCCTGCTGCACAGTAATGCTGCTGCAGTGTGTTGGACTGCGACTCAGCAAAGGTGCTTCTCTGAAGCTTGTAGGGGCTTCAAGTGTCTTCATCACATGTCTGGGCAGTGAAGCAAAGAGATAATGGAGGCCGCTGATCTGTGCCGGTTAGCACAACTCCTTCTAGGCGTCGTCTTTCCCTCTCTCTCCCTTTCTCTCTCTGCTTCCTTCAGTGACAGCACCCCAGCGAAAGCAAATAAAAGCCCCTCGCCTCCACCAGATGGATCTCCCATCACCAGCCCTGAGACCAAGACTGTCAACCATGAGCTGGAATCGTCCACTTTGGAAGCGCCTGGGGCAAGCATCCCAAAGTCACCATCTCAGGTAGTGTCCCCATGACATTGACCATGTCTCTGCAGTATGACCGCTGATGGTACAAGCTCCGTGAGTCAAAGACATCCATCAGTTGCTTTTTTGGACCTCTTCCTGATACTGAGCACAGAGAATGTGACTTGACGGTTGGGTTGTTCTCCTTCACTGGTTCCTGAGAGGTTCCCAAGGGAAGAACTAAGCTGTCTCTGAATGCCTCTACAGGGGGAAGGCCAGTAATACATTTTGCTATCCGGTAGGATGGCCGAAAAGATCCAAGGAGGATGGAGTTGTAGCTAGGCGAGGGAGTTTGTTCTTTACATTTGAATTAACCTGTAGAATTCAATGGTCCAGTTTCTTTTCAAGAACTTCAATAACTGCGGAAAGTTCAAAGAAAAAAGTTTAATATTGATAAGGAGAACATCTGTACTTTGCATGATGTTTTACTTTAATCTCAAGATAAAATTTTATGCTAAAAATAAAGGCATTATATTCTTATGCTGTGAAGAAACTAGGTGGCTACCAGGAAGAAGACTGTCCATTATATGGAGTCTGATACCTTCCAAGGCCTTTGTTAGTCCTTTCCTTACACAGGAGATACCCAGCGGCATGCTTAAAATAGTGTATGTAGCTCCTGCTACTCAGCGTATCATATGATATGTTTTAATTTGAGATTTAAGGAAAATAAAACATTTACTTCCCCTTGCCATCCCTCTATTGCTGAGTGGAGGAAAAGCTTAGTAGGGGAAAGTAGTAACTAGACAAAATTTGTCTGGTGCCAATCCTTGCATTTCAGTAAGTGGGACACCAGGGAGGAGTCTTCCAGGAAGAATTAAAGCTGAGAGGGGTTCTGGCCAAACTGGTAAGAGAAAACCTATTGCATCTGAAGAGACGGGTGCAACCCAGAACTTCCTTGCTGTTGTCATATGTAGCAGTGTGATTCCAAATCCCGGCCTGTGGTGTAGGCTGTCTGCTGTTTCTGGATAGCCTTTCACAATATTTTTCCCTCTGCTGCATTTTTGATTTTCAGGATTATCTAGGGACAAAAGGGGATGTTTGTATATTGGCAAAAGGGTCTTTTTGAGCCCTGTGAGATGCGTGGAAGTCTGGCAGTGTCTTTTCAGGGCTTCTCCAGCGTCTCTGCACCTCTCAGCATTGCACAGCCTAGAGCAGCTTCGCCACCACCCTGGCTAGGACCTTGGAGTAGGGTATGTGTACGGGGGAGAGAGGATAGTGCCTACAGATTTGCCTTCCTGTTTTTTCAGAGATTGCCATAACTTGATTGAAGTTTGGAACAAGAAATCATACAGATTTATTGAGCTGTTCGCTGCAGACTTCACTTGCCCTGCCTGTGGACTTGTCATGCTGAGTTTGGCTTCTTCTTTTTCCTTTAAATAGCACACATAAGCCTGGTTTTTGCCAGCCTGCAAGTGCTTTCTCATTCACTTGCTGCCTTCCTGCCCACAGGAATGGGGCTAGAGGCACCCTTTGTCGAGCAAGCAGAATATTCCAGTGCGGCCCTAGCTGGAATCTCAGATGGGCCACAGGCAAGACTGAAATGGCATTTGTAGCTAATGCTGCCACCACCTGGCAGCTCTTTCCCAATCTATATTTAATTCATTCTCCCAGGCCTCACTACAGTGAAGAACAAGAGCTCCACTCCATATTCTTGCTAGGTGCTAAGAGACAGAGCTGGCTCCAGAGGGAGGGAAGACAAGGACAGGGGTTTCATACTCAGAGCCAAGCCTGGTGTCTGTATGGATAAAGTCTAGAAACTAAGAGTGTGTCAGCTTGCCAGCCAGCTGGAAAACACAAGTGTCTCCTCTCTCAACAGTGCTCAACTTTAAGCTGTGAAGATGAAAATCTTTACAGGTGTTATTACTTTTGGCCTGTGGGTAAGTCATTTTTTTTCTAGGGTCCTCCTAGGGAGGCTAGGGGCCTCATCCTCGCGGGGATGATGGAGCAAAAAGCAACAAGCAAATACAATTCTCTGGGCTATTCCTGTCTGAAATACTAATGCAGACCATAAACAAAGGCTGTGGAGAGAAAGACAACAAAACAGGAGAGACCAAATAAATGCTAACTAAACTTTGAACTGTTCCCTATGCCAAAAAAAATAGCTCTTTTACTGTCCTTTAATTCTCTAAACCGGCTTATTTCTGTCTTTTGGAAGAAGCGACTGCTATCAGATCTCCGCGCTGAGTAATTTGATGATGATACAGGACTTCAGGGGTCTGTGAAATCTCCAAGGTCAGACTTTTGCTCTCAGTTACACCACTGAAACACTGTAATGACACTTTTGAAGTCAATGCAACTATGTTGAATTTAGACAGGTAAACCTGTGGGATCCAAGTCAGCAGAAAAATTTTAGAGGATTTGTTTTATTCTGGGCAGCAAAGTTGTTCATGCTTGATGAATTTCCAGGTATAACTTAACATCAATAGGCAATCCTGTTGTCTTTGAAATATGGTTTTAGACTACTGTTAGAGGTAATGCTGGACACTGTAGAAGTGCTGGTCTCCAAGACACTAATGCATTGGAAAGAAGAAGACTGACTGTTTTAGAGAAATAAATAGCAGAAGAGTTGGGATCTTTTTGACTTCAGAGTTTGTTATTGGACCCTCCCATTTCTGTAGGTGGTGGCTCTGTTCTGAGAATAGCTTTTCCCTGAAATTTCTGGTCCCTTCTTGCAAATGGCAAGCAGGGGATTTTCAGGAAGGGATTGTTCTCAGGGAATGTATACACGCCACCTTCTGCAAACAGTGAAAAGTTGGAAGTGAACACACTACTTTCATTATGTCCCCTAGCCAGCTATTCAGTGGAAAATGTGTGTTTGCATACTCACTCACACTCTGTAAAGTAGGTTAACCCAGTAGAAAACTGGGCATATCCTTAGCAATCTGAATAAAAACCTTGTAGAGCTCAGTTATATGCTGGTGGGGTGTGAATACAGGACTAGGAGTTGGGGATTGCTGTGTTTCAGATCTGAGCCTGACACTGATATACCGGGTGCCCATTGTCAGGTCTCTGAGTCTTGCTGCCTTGGGATTCTAAGTACGATGAGAAGATCAAGTAAAACAATACTGTAAATGGAAAGCATTGTCATTGCTGAGCGTTGCTGTGGTGCTTGGAACTTGTATGGCTGCTTTGTTCCAACACAGCAGCAGCTCCTCAAAGTTTGATTTGATCTAGAAATGATCATTGAGCCTTGGGCACAGGAAAATGTGAAAAGGATGTGGATGGGTTGATGTAGGGAGGGTCTACCACAGCTTCCCATGGGGTTGTGGATGCAGTGTCAGGCTGAGTCTTTTAGCATGATGGTGGGTATTAGGATGGGTTAGAGTTATAGGGTCAGACTTTGTTATGCATTCTCTGGATCTCTGTTTGGGAAACACGACTTCATTGCTGTCAATGCTCATTGGTGAAACTGAGAGCAGAGTTGGGCCCGTAGCAGTCATGGCTTCTCAGGAGTTTGTTTTTGCCTAAAGCTGAGAAGTGGTAAGATGCCATCAAGAGCTCCTTCAGACCTTTCTTACGGTACACTGGTAATCAGTGCACCAGTACTGGGCAGATCAGAGTCTGTCCTCATGGTCACCTACCAATAATAGGACAAATTGAGTCTGATCTCTCATTCTCTTAAGTATGGTAAGTATGGCAAAGGGAGGCAGTGCTGGCCTGGTCTATTGAATTGTGTTCTCAGTAATTGATCTGCTCCCTTCCCAGTGGTTCTTTTGAAGGTTGCACATGCTTTAATTATGTATGCATGTCCTGTCAATGCATATTAATTGTGTTACGCTTCTCCTCTGCAGAGGGAAACTTGCCTACGGCTGAAGTGTAACTAATGATGCCAAACCTTCTCTGGAGGCCTCTGGTTGTTTTTTTTGTTTCATTTCAATTCAGCCCTTCACTCTCCCTCCCTCTCTCTTCAGATGGAGTTGATTGGACCCTGCTCTGTGCCTGTGGTTGTGATATCCCCCACCTTCAGTTTTTGTGGCTAACCTGGTTCCTGTCTCTGGTTTTTTTGGGTGTCGCCGTCTGTGCTGTGGCCATGTGCTCACTTGCATGCAGTTGAGGAAAGGGCCTCCGGTGCCTCCGCCTCCAAAAGTCACCCCCTCCAAGGAGATCAAGCAGGAGAACATCATCAGTCTGTTTGATGACAATTTTGTCCCTGAGATAAGTGTGACAACCCCTTCGCAGGTTAGCTGCTATGCCCTGCCTTATATTTGTCTGCCTCTGAACTTTTCCTTTTGACCTTTCTTCTCTTTAGAGGTGTCAAGCCATGAAACCTGGTCAGGTGAAGGAGGAAGGCAAGCTCAGCATTGGACCTCAGAAGGCAAAGAATTAGATAGAAGGCTAACTTAGAGGGGAGGGGGGCTAGAAGGCAGCTTTGACTAGCACATTGCCCTTTCAGAGCTTTCATTCATAGAAGAAATGGGAGAAATGCCACTGGTGAAGATGCCAGAAAGTAATCACTGCAGGAAAGCTTATGGATTATGGCGCCCCTCATATCCTATGATATGCTCTCTCCAGACCCACTGATCCTGGGTGTGGATGAAGCATGTGTTTTCTGCCCTTGTACATCCCCTAGTGCTGACCCTGGCATCTGTGCCCATTCTGGGAGAAGACAGTTTTGTGCTCTCCATGCCTTCACATATGGGCTTTGCGGTTTAAAGCCCACACCTGCACAGGAAAGGCCAACAGGAATTGCATGAAGTTCTCTTTGCGGAGAATAGGTGCCTCCAGTTTAGATGGGCAGGGCTGTGCCTGCTGTCAATTCAGGACTGCTGACACAGTCCAGCCAGCAGTTCCCATCAGAATATTTCTTTCTTGTCATGTGGCACTTTTTGAAGCCCTGAGAAAAGAAAAACATTTTCAAATTATATATTTTTTTTCTCTTCACATTCCTTTTGATTTACATCACTGCAAGAGAGGATGCCCAGGCAGGGAATTCTATGTTGGATCTAGGAGAATAGCAGTCCTTATGTGTATAGGAGCCTGACCAGATTTCTGGCTGTACCATGAGATACCTGCATTTACTTTTTTATGTATATATACACATGTATATATATATATATATTTTTTTTTTCCCCCTAAATGCTTGTTAAAGCACAAGTAATCTCTCTATCAGTGCTCATCTGTGACTCATTCCGTAACTTTTCCTTGTATCATGCTGCTCCATTGCCTCTGGTTTGCCACCTTCCACCCAGCTGCTGAGGAGCAGAGGTGGAGTGGGAAGGGAGGGAAGTCCATGTCAGATTTTGCATTGCAATAGATAAAGCTTGCAGAGCAGAGAGATGATTTGACAGCAGTGTTGGAAGGCAGGACCACAGGCAGCTGAGCAACTCTCTTATCATTTTCTGTGCTTTCTTCTCCTGTATCATAATGGACAGCTCTGTCTGCCCCATGGTTTGTGTCATGTATTTCCATGTGAATGCCAGCCCTTAGTCAGATGTACTCTTCTGCACCTGATCAGTGCTCTGACCCAGGATGGGATCTGCTGTGACTTTCAATCTGAGGGAGGACTCTGCTTGCCAGAACAATCTTCACTGAAGCACCCAACAGCCACTAGTGTTCAGTGTGCTGCCCAGAGCCGTTCCTGTCAGATGTCGTGGCTCCAATGAGCTGTCTTGTGGGAGATCTGGGTGCTAGCCCTTGCATGTTAGTCTCGAATGGCAGGTAGGATTATTCCATGACTGGAGCCTTTGATGTCTTGCTACCAAACAAAACTGAAGATTGGGGTTGGAGCCCCTCTGATGGGTGGCCTGGATGTGCTGGAGGAGCGTACTAGAATGCTAGTTGTTTTTTGCATACTGGTCAGAGTTTATTATTGTGAGATGGGAGAGCTTGGTTCCTTGTCCTCATCCCTGTGGGTCTCAAAAAGAGATTTTCATAAGGGAGAGAAAAATCTAGAAGAGAATTGGAGTAAGAGGAAACTAGAGGAGGTGAAAATGATGGTGGTGTGGGTTGTATTCAGAGGACTTTTTCTTAAATGGTGTCTCTTGCTATGTTCCAGGAGTTTTTCCATTGTGGGGCTATGATATAACTGTGGAGACCAACCTGCCACACTTTGTGTGTTGTTGGAAAGGTAGCTGAAGCAGTGGGGCCAGCAAGCTGGGAGGTCAGTGGAAACAGGGGCAAATCTTTCTGGACTTGCTGGAGAGAGCAGCTTCCTCTGAAGCTGCATAGAAAGGAGCGTCTTGTAGTGGTTAGGTTAAATCTAAACACCAAAAGTGATAGTTCAGTTTTGAATACTAATGACTCATGTCCTTTGTAGTAACTGTTTTATTAATGGTAATCAGTGAATGTGCCATCATTGTCTTTAGCTAGAGCATTAATCAGTCAAAGGGGGTTATTCTGCTGACTTTGAAGAGAGTAGAAAAGCCTCTCAAATTTATGATTTGTTAGAAGACTCATGTGTGCATGTTTCTGGGATGTCCAGGAATGGGAAGCATTGAAAACAGCATTTTTGGATTGGGGAGTGATTCAAATCCCTTAGCTAGGGTGAGCTGCCATATTCTGTGTTTCTGTCTCAGAAGGCAGGAGGGAATTAGGAGCTTTGGGAGTTAGCTCTGAGGTCTCTCAGACTTACCTTCCAGCAGCTTGAGTGGTTTCCTGCCTGGATCCGTGTTCCTGAGATAAGTTGCATGTGGCTGAGGGAGTCTGTCCCGGGCCTTCAGTACAAAGGCAGCTGGATGAGCTACGGGGAATAGATATAAATAGAAGAGAAGCCCTTCTGAATTGTCAGTAGCAGTGATCCTTTTGACCAGAGCAGGTCAGATGCTCACACCATGTCAGCTCATTTGGACAGGTGGGAAGATGAACGAGTCCTGTGGAGAAGGCTCAGGTTTGGTTTACAGTGGCACCCATGCGAACTGCCCGTGATTATAGGCACCAAGCAGGCAGGAGTCACGTCAGGTGCTTGCATTGCCACCGTGTCTTCTGTGCTTGCAGGCTTAGCTCCTGGAGATCGCATACCCTCCCTCTACTGTACGCGTGTGTGTGTGTCTAATGCTCGTACTGCTTTTCTTCCTCACTGCTGCCAAGTTTGATGCCCCTGGGCCCTTCCAGGAGGGAGCCAGCCTGTTGGATCTGGATTTTGATCCCATTAAACCAGATGCCACTGTGGGGAAGACCCCCACACCCGCCTCCCAGGTTGGTTCATATCACCATTCCTTCTGCCTTCATAACTGACTTGTTGCCAAGTGTGGCGTGACCTGCACCCATGTGAATGATAATGTGGACCTGAGCCGTGGGTGGCTGGGCTGGGTGCCCAGACCTGTGCCTTGCAGATGGGCACCTTGGTCTTGTCTGCTGGATGTTTAAGTCCAGTGAGAATTAGATGGCTACTAGCTTGGCCACAGTCTGGCACTAGGTGTTCGTGGGATGCTTGTGCTTTGCTCTGGTGATCTACTGACTGACAACTTGTTCAACTTAATGTATGTCCCTCCCTAGATAAGCATCCTCTGTATGTTATATGGGTTTAAACTGTTATTCTGTGAATGGGAGTTCAGCCTCAGTTCTGTGCTCCTGCTATAAATTGCTCTCAAAGGGATTTTTAATAAACACTGGTAATCTGCAGTTACTTAAGGTGAATAAAGCTGTAGATAGATATTGAAGTGATGTGAAGCCCTTCTTTTTCTGGGTATAACATAGCCTCTGTTCATAGTTAAGAAGCAGCTTCCTCCCTGAGCACAGTGCTGCGCAGTGCAGTATCAAAAAGGAAGATGCCCGATTCTGGTCTGGCCTGTACCTGGTCCTGTCCACTGTCAGAGGCGGGTGCACTGCGCTTCATTTTGTGTCTAAATGGCTGGAGGCTTTGAAGTGCATCCTGAATTTGGCTGTTATCCTGACCAAGACTTTCCATTTCATATGTATGAAATGGTTATTTTTTTGCCTGTGTTTTAAATTTATTTACTGGGATTTTTTTTTTTCTGAATCACCAGTTATAACTTGGATAATTGGGTATACTGGCTTTATACAAGTATAAATTTGACTGAAAATGGAATTATCTGTTACCCTTGCAGAAAAGAACAAATATTACACTGAGTGGGTTTTTCAAAACTGCTCAGCAATAGCCTATTTGCTGTTCTAATGTATTTATTATTAGCTTCAGAAGTCATTAAAAGAAAGAGTGTAAAATAAATACTTTCTAATGGTAACCACAGTACAAATCCTAGTGAAAACCACCTAGTTTTCAAAGCAGTCAAATTTATTTCCTGTAGGGTGGGCACTGTGGCAAAGAGGTTGAGATATTTCACTACTGATCCAAAGACACCAGTTGAAGTCTTGTTCTGAAATCATACTAACTCTATTGGGTGTGGGTGTATGGGAGCATATGTAACCCTGATGGACCACAAACTCATGAGGGTTTTGTTTTTTTTTTTTTCTGGCCATGTGGTCTGCCACTGATAACTGCGTGTGGCTTGATTGTCTCCCTTCATACCAGAGGTAGAAAAAAACCTTACTCAGATGCCTTGGTGCTTAAATTTGAATATGCAGTGGGGAGGGGTGTATAAATTCAGGTACTAAAAGTATTTTTAAAGCATGCAGAGATAAATGCTGTTCAATGTGTATGTCTGCTTCAGTCCGATCAGCATCTGTAATGTTTGTACTCACTGAAATAATCACATATAAACATGTTTTATTTTTGTTGCTCTTTGACATGCTTAGTCTTTACCTTGGGATTTATGGGAGGTAAGAACTTCATATGGCTTTCCTGTCTCATCACGTACTGTGCATGTGCCAGTGCCATCTCTGTGCGCATACCTGTCTCCTTTCCCTCGCTGCTTTTGCTTTCCCACACCCCAAACCAAAGTTGCTCCATGTGCTGCTGCTGAACCCACTTTTGCACCTTCTGTGAAGCCCCAGGGGCAGCCACGTTTGCAAGTCGGGTCTGGCACTCTGAAACTTATGTCTCCGCCAGCGCACAACCCCATTGCCTTTCCCTGCTAACTCGCCTTTCCTTTGGCATGATGCTGTGACGTTCTCATTAAACTTAATCCTGCTGTGGCATCATCCTCACCCTCCACTCCTCAGTATTTCCTGAACTCTGTATGTCCTGTTGGTCTTGTGTGTGATGCATAAATATCTCAGCTGCCCCTCGTCCTTACTGCCTGCATCATTGGGTATACATACATGCTTGGAATTAGCTGTGGTGTTTGCTGTTCATTGACCATCGTTGCCAGAAATGCTGATGTGAAATAGCTCAGCCTGTGTCTACACTGAAAGTTAAGTGCAGGCCCAAGATTTACCTGGCATCTGCCTCAGCGTCAGCATTGGAGCTTGCTGACAAAGGAGACCCTACACATGCTCTGCATCTGAACCAAAGTCAGACCCTCATTTATGCCCTCTAGGTATATTGGGCCTGGGAAGGTCTCAGATTGCTGCAGATTAGCCCAATGGGAGATATTTCAAGCACAACTACTTTTGAGTCCCTCTGGACAAACAGCCAGCAGTGTGGACAGAAAATGCTTGGTCTGGGTACTCAAGCCTGTTCCTTGAGCTGGCTGTATCCCACAGTGTAGATGTAAGCACATGTCCTCAGCTTATGCTGGGGAATGAGTCCTGCCAAGCTTTCCATTCTCAAGGGCCAGATCACCACCTAGAGTCAGTACTTGGGAGGACATGATGTAAGCCCTGCTGAGGGCCTGGCCCAAGGACTCACTGTGGCCAGTGCTCTCCTTCACATGAGCTTGGGTCACGTCAAGAAAGATGTTTCCCTTGTGTGTTTTATCAGCCATCAGTGTTTAACATCTGTCATTCCGCTGTATGTGCGTTGTCTGTCTGTCTTAATAAGAAAGAAAAGAAGTCTGTGTTTTTGCAAGGAAGGATCTCGTGCCTTTCAAGTGGATGGGCAGGGATTGAGGTATGACTGTATCTAACTGAGCTGTGCTTACAGTCTGGGGTGTAAAAAGTGTTTTGGGCCATTTCTCCCATCCTGGAAACTGATTTCACCCAAAGGACAATTTAATCAACCGGGGAATGCTACTAGACAAGGTGTTCTCACTGTGCCAATTCTCACCTTGGCATACCATACACAGTTAAAGAGCAGACCTCCCCATAGCTGGGGAATTCTCCTCTTCAAGTCTTCTGAAGTGTTTTTGCTCGAATGTTCTTCTTAGCTGTTGACAAGAGGAGACCTGTTGCATGGTTATATAGTCCCATATGCCACGAGGTTAACAACTGCATAGAAACTTGGATGCAGCAGAACTTAGTTCTGTGGACTAGGAAACTTGCATTTGGTATATATGATGCTGCTGTTGGAATAAGCAAAGCTTTCAAACCTGGCAACAGCGGTGAGCAATTCTTCCTCTTCTCCCTATAGTATCTTGCCATGACTGTAAATGCTTTTATAGGCCTTGGGATGTCCACAGGTACATAAAATAGAAAAATAAGTAGCTGACATGAAAATGCCCTTTGTTGAAATCCAGGGTATTAATTTAGATTCAATTTCTCTGGTTATTAAATACTGTTCTTGCAAATTAGCTGCTTTTAAAAAAGGAGCTCACGTTGAGCTCCTTTTCACTTGTCCATGCTTGGCCAGATAGAGTTGGGCTGGCATCTGTCCCCGTTCCAGTTTCACTGAATCGAAATAAAAAGCAACCTGGGAGTGAATCTAATTAAACAGGAGAAGCCTTTGTGGCATTTCATATGCATACATTTACCATAGCACTACCAAAGCTGCTGTGGGAAGCCTCTGCAGGGTGGGAGCAGCTCTGCTGTTTATAATACTCTCTGGCAATATAAGGCTGTGGACGTGGTGATGGGGAGACATGAGGAAGGATGTGATAGGAGAGGAAAGCATGTGTTAAATGGCACCATTGGAGCAGCTGAAGGTAAAGTAATGGCTTTTTGTTAAATCAAGAATTTATTTCTTCATTATTGCTGCTGTTATTAGAAAACTACTTGGAGCATTGTGCCAGTGCATGGCTACTAGCCAGATCGGTGTGGAGTTAAGGGTTACCATGGTCGCTGCTTTACACTGGGCTTTTGTAGGGTTGGGACCATGAGAATTGCAATATTAAGAAATCTGGACAATGCCTTGTTTTGAACGTGGTTGTATTCAGGAGTAGATGTGTTTACCACATGTATGAGGCACGTAGGCATGCTAAGGCTGGTTTATTCACAAGTATTAAAAATGGAAAATCTCTGTATAGCAATCTCTGTTGTGCAAGTATAAAGTGGGTATCTGGTTAGATTCTGCAACGAGGCGCATGTGCTATCTGGTATGGAGAACGAATGGGTATAGACTGGCCATGAAATCACTTGGGCTGCAGATTAGACCCCTGAGGTTCTTGTCAGGAGTCTTCCCAGGTGCTGCCTGGCCAGTCTCCCAAGGGGCTGATCTGCAGCATTGATGCTACCAGATCCAACTTACTTTCTGCGTTGCTGCAGTTTCTGGGAGGGGCAAATGAATATCTTTAATTTTGTGTTGAAAAAGAGTTAGCCTGACTTCTGGCAAGGGAGAATAAAAACTTGAACTCCTGGAAGTGTATCAGAGGTGTTTGGTTGGTCTTTTGCTGTGCACAGAAACCCCTGTCCCCAGGCTTCCTAGAACAGTCTCTGTCAGGCAGTGATTAGTAGGTGATGTTGAATATTTCTCCCTGGTGGTGGCAGCTTTTGTGCATTAGAAACTCCCCTCTCCACCAACACAAATGTGTGCACGCATCATGTGGAATATTCATAGCAAATTCTTACTAATAGAATATTCACAACAGAATCCAAAGTCATGACTCCTTGGGCCTATCCAAAATCAAATTGGGTGAAAGTTAGTACAGTTTTCAGTTCAGTTTGATTCAGTGTTAATGTCATGTAGATGCTGGGTCCAGACTAAGTTCCATATCTGGACACATTATTACCATGCTCTTCTGTTTCTGGGAGTATGCAAAGGCTTAAATATTCCTCGATTGTTGATCCTTGGAAGTAGCCTAATGAGAGATCCTTGTATTCATATACAAGTGGGCAATCTATAGGTAATAATAGATAGTGTGTAAAGTAGGTCTGCGATTTAGATCGTGAAAAGAAAGAGATGCACAGGATTTTTGGTGTTTCATTGATTTCCTCTGGAGTATTGCCCGCTGCATGGCTGGAGTGAGGGAATGCAGGCTTTACTGTGATTTCACTGGGTTGCAGAGAAAGAGGGAGACAGAAACCTAGCAAGACCCTGAGGTTTCTCAGCTATTTGTCAGCAGATGGCAGCAGTCAACAGCGTAGAGCACTTGGACAGACTGAGCCGCACTTTTCTGCACACCCAGGTGATGTAATGAGCATAACTGTCCACCTGGATGACTTTTGTATTGCAGCCTGCAGAAGCAGCCCATGCAGGAGCTGAAGCAGCTGGATCAGAAGCAGCAGCTGGAGCTGAAGCATCTAAAACTGAAGCTGATTCAGGATCGGTAAGCACCTCGAGGGACAGCAGTCCCTTTTCTCCATCACATCCCTTTGTCATACAGCAGATGTGGGAGGCTGGGCTGGGAAAAGACATATGTGGCTGCCTGGAAAAACACATCCCTGCCACCCCAGCAGTTACAATGCTCTTATTCAGAGGCCAGACTTAGCTGTTGCATTTTATCTCTGTAATGCTAAGGGAGAAGCTCTGCTGGAAGATGTCCACAAAAAGAATTGTCCCTTCACCCATGTTGTGAAGCCAGCCCACAGCCCGTGCTGTGCTAAGCTTGCGTTGTCTGCTGGGTTCCTCCTTCCTCACCATTTACTTTACCTATCCTGTCCTCTGGACTCTGCCTGTGTCCCCTGAACATCCAGGGTTTCTCTTTTCTTCTTGGTACTGCCACCTTTTTAGGGGACTGGAGTAGGTCCCATTTCATGGCTGCTTGGTCCCTATAGGCTGTCGCATTTGAGTTGTCTGTTCCACGAGGGCTCTACAAGAACTGTGTCGTGACCAGAGCGAATGGGAAATGCTGGGTATTATGGTCACAGAAAAGCTCTAAATCCTCTCTGGCCCTTCTGCAGCCTTAAGCAAAGGAAGACAGTGGTCACCTCTTCTGCCTTACTGCTGCCTCTGCTGTCCTTTGGGGTGTTTTTGTCACTGACTGGTGTGCTGGGTAAAACTGCTGAAGCCATGGGTGGGGTTGGGATATGGATTTGGAGCTGCAATTTTGGATTCTCTTTTCTCAATGGCGTTTTTTCCTTCCCTGGCTGCTGCTGCCTACCAGAGCTCTCTGCCTGCTGTCGTTGTGGAAACTTTCCCTGCTACCGTCAATGGCACTGTGGAAGGAGGTGCTTCGTCTGAAAGAGCTGACATGCCCCCAGGATTTCTGTTCAAGGTGAGTGCATGGTGGTGGGACACCGAGTTCCTGGTAATCTTTTTTTTTTTTTTCCCCTCTAATGGATTAACAGCTTTCACTCAGCATGGCCATGGGCTATGCCACATTGAAAGGGAGAAAGGAAATTGAAGGAGAGATGCACCTTCCTCTCCAGCAGCCCAGCTTCATGCAGTTCCAGATGCTTCAAAGGACTGTATAAGAGCATCGGTGTCTAAACATCTGGCTGTGCTGTATAGCAAAACCCCTCCTTCTCTCTGCTGCAGTTATTTCTATCTCTGGTGGTGTGCTAGTGTCAGTCACAGACTCTGGATAGTAGATAAGAAGTTGTGCTCCAAACTAGAAAGGTTAAACTTCGATGCAAGTGGCAAATGAAGGAGAGTTGGAAACACCAGTAGGGACAGAGGACTTTGCGTTTGGGGAAATTAGAAAGCCAGGATGAACAGGAAAAAATATAGGATTAGATAGGGAAGTCTGGTGGGTATTCTGAATATGTCAAAGATCACTCGCAGCTTGTTTGGAAGGTGTGGAGGAAGGAGTGATTCTGGGTGGGCATAGGCCACAAATTTAATGTGCATAATGGAATATGGTAGCAAGACAGCACAGATTCATCATGCCCTGAAAGTAAGAAATGACAGTCTCCTGCTATAGGAATGCTTTTCTTCTGCTTTAGTCATGTCCATGCATCTTTTTTTTTTTTTTTTTTTCTCTCCTGGGAGTTCTACCAAAAGCAGAAGAATGACAAAGCCCTGAAGAACAATAGGAGGCTCATCACATTTAGACTGGTTACAGGCAGCTTTATAGACTGTAGTGCTTGAAGTGGAGAGCTGTGGTTTGAAGTAGAAAAGCTGTAACGCAGATGTTGATAGGAATTAGGCTGAATACCAAAGAGAAGACATGGCAGGATACAATCACTCAAAGATCCAAACTGATACTCTTCCCTACATTTCCTCTCCCTGCTTGCTGTGACAGAGATGGGAGGCTGTAATCTCTCATACTCTTGCAGTCCAGCTGCAAAAAAGAATACAGGGCACCATTTGAGTGAGTACAGGCTTGCTAGTCTGTGAGGTTTTTAGGCCCATACCATGGGAATTCAACCCTCCTAAGGAAGGATGTGGAGGTGCTGATGCCTAACAAGCTGAGTGAGATTCACCAGGATGCCCTTGTGGCAAAGGCGAGCTGCATGCCAAGCTGTATGAACGAGCATGTAGCCATTGGATTAAGGGAAGTGGTTATTCTCGTAGATGTGTCATTTGTGATCCAAGCTTGCCCTTCCTCCAGCAGCAGGTTGGATCAGATGACCTCCAAAGGTGCTTTCCAACCTGAATCATCCAGTGAATCAATGAAGTGGAAAGCCTTGTCACCCGTTACAGAGCTGGGTGAGAGAAGGCTGGCCTCACCCAAGCTCTCCTCTCCCCATAGGTCCAGGCCATGCATGATTACACGGCCACTGACAGTGACGAGCTGCAGCTGAAGGCCGGGGATGTGGTGCTTGTGATTCCATTTGAGAACCCTGAGGAGCAGGTGAGTGGGGAAGACGGTGTGAGCCTGGGCCGGGAGGAGCCAAGGGGATTTCCAGAGCTGCTTCTTCCTCCACTAACAGTTGGCTGGCTGGATGCAGCGCCATCAGTTTGTGGCTGGGAGCTCGTGGGAGAGCCGGTTGTCCTTGAGCTTGAGATTGGCTTCCTGCAACAGAGGGGAGGACTCTGCTTGTGACTGGAAAGTGGAGACACTGTCCTGCATGTGAAATAGCTGTGGCTTCCTGTCCCTTTCAGGGCTTTTGAGCCAATACAATGGCTTCCTTGATTGGGGGCCCAACAGAGCCCATACTTTGCCTCCTCACTGCTCCTAAAGTTGATGCACGTTCCCTGTGACCACTGCAGTGCAGACTGTGACATTGGCAGGAGTGACTCACAGCTTATGATCATGTTTTCTCCCCTTTTGGGAAACGCTGGAGCTCTGAGAAAGCAGCCTGCCGTGGATGATGTCTTGCATTTCAGCATAGCAATGGCTATTTCCAAAAGACAGTGTTTGGTCAGGAGATGGCAGCAGAACCAAAGGCTGGAGCGGGTGGCTCAGCACCAGAGAACAGTCTTACTGTCCATCTCCAACCTCAATTTAATTGGTGATGTTTTTCTTTAATCTGAACTCTTTCTAGAAGCCTTGAGTAAATCCTCCTCACTTGCTGTGTTTGAGGGCTTCCAGCTGATAAAGTCTGCAGCAGTTTTACTACTGTGGCTGAGGGTGGTGGTGATTTTATAAAATTCATGGTCATGTCTCCAGGTTTTTGTTTGGAAAAGGAAGGGAATTGTCCAAATTTATTCAGTAGTCACCAGCTCTTTGGGTTTGGCCAAGCCCAGACAAGATCTGGATTCCACAAGGGATAAAGGGAAGGTGATGTAGTTCACTGGCCACAGAAGATGTGGATCCTGTTTGTGGCTCAGCTGTTGGCTTTGTGAATTGTGGAGGCAGATCTTGCTGCTGCTTGTGAAATGGGAGCTATAATGTGCCGGCAGTTCCCGCAGAGCTTAGGTGCTCTGGGGGGAAGGGTTGTGAGGGGTAGAGGCAGTGATTCCTTCTGGCGACAAGACTCTTCACTGAGTGGGACTGCCCTGCACAAGCATTTGTGAGCGTTTCTTTCTCAGAAAGCTTTCTAGATGGGAAATGAGTGGCAGCTCCCCTAGTTTCTGTGGTAGGAGATGGCATTTGTGGAGCAGAGTTTTTCAATGCCCTATGTTTGCACTTTAGCTGGATGTGGGTGCAACAGCCATGAACTCGAGACTCTCCAAGCTGCAGAGGGTGAGCTCTGAGTGTTGCTAACATGATGCTGTAGCTGCACTGAAGCCCTCTAACCCTCCTACAGTGTATCCTGTGCTACAGCTCATTTCCCTAACCTCGACCATACCCAGCCAGAAAATGTTGGCTGTTAACATGTGCATGAACTGTGCACGAACTGTGCACGTCAGTGGAGGAAGCTTAGAATAATAGACTGTGATCCATGTCCCCATCTCACAGCTTAGGTGTCAGTTTGTGGGTACATCAGCCAGGCCTGGATTCGTCTCTCTTGATAGAAGAAAGGGTTGAGAGCAGCAACGCTTCTAAGCTGGCACTTCAAGTGATGTGGTTCAAAATTGGCAAGGGTCATTCTGGGTCCTCATGTCTAATCCCTACAGCTGAGGAAACCCTTCGTAGCAGGATGCAGTGGGAGCGATGCATGCTGTATGGCACAGATGCTGTGTGCAAATGGATGAGTTTTTGTGCTTGCCGTGTTATGAGCTGGAAGCTGCCTTTCAGACACTTGGGCCCAGTGTCTTCCGCCTAGTCATTTGTCTTCCTGATTTATGGCATGTCAGTCCTTCTGCAGCCCCTGCAGCTGGCTGCTGCACATGGGCTCCCGTCTCGTGCCATTCCCATGACATCCCCTGAATGCTCAAATCTAAGGCAGCAGCAAGGGCTAACTGAGCCTGCAGGCACCCAGTACAGTCTGCAAGGAGCAGGGAACTCAGATACAATGGCTGGTCTGAGCTGCTGCCGCATGAAACATGCAGAAAACAGGACAAGAGGGCAGAAGCTGCAAAATGGCAGTGGAAATCAATACATGCCCTATGGATCACCCCTGGTGAGGGCTGCATCACTTCTTCACTGTGCAGGTACGTTTTTAAAGAACATGTTTCAAGGGAGGCATTGCTTGGCCTCGGGTAAATACATGGGTAACTCCTGCCAGTTCCAGGAAAGCAGAAGCAGCAGAACAACTGTGTGAACCACATGCACGCATGCCCCGTTTCCCCACAGCTTAGATCATCTGGTTGCCTGAGCACTTCTGCCCTGGCAAGTTATGTAGTCGAATGTGATAACATATCTCTGAATGAGCCTGGTGTGTGCTTTGCCCAGAGGAATGGATGCAGAGCAGGCTGTTGAGTTTGGAGGCAGTGGTCCCCTGTGCAGCTCTCTTGCCATGGGCTGCCCCACTGCAAATGACTCATATAAGTGTGTACATTTGCATGCTGAAGGGGTGCTTCCATGGTGGCAGCTCCAAGGCATGCAGAGAATAGGGTGGTTGCACACCTGAGCTGCAGGCAGTGCAGCCTTCACACCTTGAATATCTTTTCTCCCTCATGTGCTTTGAATGGAGTGGAAATCTCGATGCTAGACACCCTGCAGGCAGAGTGTGGGAAGTCTGGTTCTCCTCCTGAGCAGGTTCTACCAGGCAGGACTCCATTTGCCTCAGTGAAAATTCATCCCTGTTTGTAGATGTATAGGTTTGGTGCCTAGGGAGGACCCTTGTGAGACACCTTGAGTCTTACATCATGTGTAGCACAAGTTTGGGAGTTTTGCTAACCTCACCTTGCATCAAGCCCAACAGACTGCTGGGTTTTGGGAAGATGAGTTGAGCTCCTCGGCTCCCAATTCTCATAGACCAGAATTTCATCATAGCAAACAAGACTCGTTTTGCTTCTACCACCTCTCTAAAATGCTAATCATCCAGGTGCCCTGACTGGAGCAGGGGATAGGCACCTCCAGGGAATGATTCATCCTTTCCAAAGACCAATATGAATGGAATGAACTGTACTGTGGAGGTGCCCATCTCTTTTTGTGACTATGGAGAGTGCCAGAACCCTCGTGTTTAGATTGTGAAAGGTGAGACAGGTGATTCCCATCCTGTAGCTCTAGAGACTTTCTTTGGCAGAATTTCTCCTGCTTCAGTGGGTGTAAATTATGACATGTTTCTATTACACTTGCTAAGTTTTTACAATTTCACTAGACACTCTGGGTCAGATAGGAGTTTTGGTACTGACTGGTGCGGTGTAGCCTTCTCCCTGTTTAAAAGGGAATGAAAGCATTTTTTTCCTTCTCCCCCATCCTCTTCCTGGGTTGTCTCCAAGCCAAATATGAGCATGGCTTTGATAATGTCTTGACACCTCCTTGGCCTGCACTCTGTAAGAAAAATCCCTGCTCACATCTATCCCTCAGCATCTGATCTCTGTCTTCTCCTCCAGGATGAAGGATGGCTGATGGGCGTGAAGGAGTCTGACTGGATCCAGCATAAGGAACTTGACCAATGCCGAGGGGTGTTCCCAGAGAATTTCACAGAGCGGGTGCAGTGAAAGCCCAAGCCCACCAGCCGCATTTCTGCTGGAAGAAAGCAAGTTTTCTGGTAGATAATTGAAAAAGAACAGCGAAATGAAAAGAAGAGAGAATTTTAAAGGAACAGAAGCCAGAAAAAAAAGTCAACTTAAAGGGTGTGTTCTTCTCAAAGGGCAAGGTTTCAGAAGTAAATTGAAATTCAAAGTGTTATCAAAATATATACATATTAATAATAATAAGGCAAGTCAAATACCCTCTTCCCCCTTTGGTTTTAACAGCATTTGGATTCAGAGGACTGATGCAGAAGCAACTCAGTGTGGTTCTCTAAATACTGCATTGACTGAATTGGTGAGATGTCAGTCTGATCCCTACAAAGGCAGTATTTGTCTAATGGCTTGGGAGCAGAAGCTGCATTTGCTCTTGGGTGGGTTCATCTGTTTTGTCTTGAAAGTGGCTTGCATGGCAACCGTAAAAATTCAGCCTTCCCAACATGTTCAACCTACAGTAGGCCAAACTTTCTGCTATGCTGTTGAAAAAAATATTTAGTGTATAGTGTCCACCAATACAATGTATGTGTGTGTGCGCGTGTGTGTATTTTATTTTCTTCCTTTAAAACAATGTTACACAAACTGTGATTTTGTACATGTAAAGATAGAAGAAACTACATGGAAAGGGCATGGAGAAGATGAAATGTGTGAAGCTGTGCTCAGTCCAAAGTTCTTTCAAATGCAGACACCGAAATTCTCAGAGTAGTATTGGCCTGTGAAATGTGAAGGGGAACGCACAAATTCAAGAGGAGAAACAAGACAAAACAAGTGGATGCCATTTAGATGGCTCTGAAATTTAGGAGAAGAATCCTCTGCCCCCAAAACCCTGTAGGCAGTTTCAAAAGAGCTTAGATTCATGTAGATGGAAGATAGCTCTAAAATCTGGCTGGTTAGAAAATTTGCTCTTAAAGAAAGAGAGAAGGGAAATTTTTTTTTTCTGAAAGAATGTCTAAGAAAAAACACAGAGGAAAAAACCAATTTGCTTTCTGGTTTTTTAATTGGCATTGTTATTTGTGGAATTGTATTTCTTATTTTCTTTTGAAGAGTTCTGTAAGTGAAATATTGCTAGATCAGCTTTCTCCAGTGCTGTGCTGGTGATCAAGTTAACCTCTACAAAAACTGGGCTCTTGAAATACTCATTTAGAATGGCTGCATGACTTCATGATATTTTAATGCATTAGAAAGGAAGGCAAGAATATCAAAGTGTCAGTGTCAAGAAGACACTCTGCAGTCTAATACTGATGCTGAGACCTTTCCTATACCTTTCCTTTGCTCCTGTTTGTTTTTGAGTTTTGTTTTTTAGTTTAACCAAGCAGATGACAAAGCTGTTTCAAAGTGCATATTACACTTGTTAAAATAAGCTGGTCTGACCCTCCAAGACTCTAAAGTCCCACAAAGGTACTTTAAACTTTACTTGAATACTGATGCAGCTGGCAAGCAGGTCAGGCTATTATTTTTTATGGCTCCCCCC